CGTGGTCTACCCGATGGCTCCAGACCAGCGGCGCCACGTTAGCATCAACTCGGCCCGCTGGCTGCCCGACCCAGGAATGGGTCTGGCTTACGGCACCAACAAGGGAGACCTGGTCATCTGCCGGCCCGTGTGAGTCCTCCCGAAGCTCCTGTAGAACCTAAAGGAAAGAAAGAGGACACGCTCAAATACCCTATGTGTATATATGTGTTTGTATGTATGATAAAGAGGAGAACCTCGTTCCATTGACCAACCAGATGTAATGTGAATAACAGTGTTATAACGACTGCAGATAAAGAAGCTAATAATGAAATGGGATGTATTCTTGCGACTGTCCGGTACACAATGACACAATCCCATGTCTTGAAGATTAAGATGGTGACATCACATCAGCCGAGTCGACCATGAGCTCTGGCCTCGTGCTTCCTGTGTTTCTGGGTCTGAAGTTCAGCAGGTCTTCGAAATCAGAACCTGCAAGTTATTTGAAAAGCAGCAGAACACTAAATAAATAAATCAATTAGGAATAATGATTGTTCCTCTCACTGTGTGTCACTGAGTGATCAATAACTAATAGATCCTCAATAAAAACAACCAGACTCTGGCTGTGCGTGTGAGCCGTGTTTCCCTTCCTCCACTGATGCGATTATCCCGACAGGAAAAGGATTGATTGATCGATCGGAGGTCAATTAGTGCTATAACGAGGTTGCGTGTGATGTCTCTTCCTGTCTGGAGGAGGCTAATAACCAGTTTGTTTTCTCAGGTTCTACAGGAGCGACGGAGAGAGCCCAGCTGAGTCCAGCAGCGAGCCTCTGTTCTCCGTCAACAATGGAGGAACCCGGAACAGAGGTTCTGAGCGCCCGGGGTGAGAGCCTGCAGACTCAACACCGCGCTCGGACCTCTACGAGAGAACATCTGACCGTTGTCATGCAAACAAGAGTCCAAGGCCATTGCAACACTTTAATCTGGAATTCAGGACGAGACCAAATATCCAATAATCCGTTATACTCTTTCAGAGGGAATGTTTACTTAAACTAAAACAAGTTCATTTTTCGGAATTCGGAGCTCCTCAGTGAAACTGACGCCATTAATCAGTCACATGTGACAAACCGTGATGTGACCATGAATCAGACAATATAAGTGAACACAGAGCAGAGAGGATGGGAATATGTTGCAGCACAACAAAGTCAATGAAGGGCAGATGTGCCTCATCTCAAGCCAAACTATTTGAAAGACGATTGATGTTTTCGATAGTTTTGATCCTTTTTACTTGCTGCTCAATGACTAACTTTGGTCCTCTGGTTCTTTTTAAGGCCCAACCGCCCCGGCTGGAGGCTGGACCGGGACATGGGCTTGATGAACGCCATCGGACTTCAGCCCAGACACCCCGCGCCTTCAGTGACATCACAGGGAACTCAGACACCAATCATCCAGCTGCAGAACGCTGAGACCCAGACGGAGAGGGAGCTGCCAGAGCCCCGACCCATGCAGCCCGCAACCAGTACGGACCCTCTATAGTCCTAACCCTCTGTAACACCCTCTATGATACTGTACTCTATAATACCCTCTATAGTCCTAACCCTCTGTAACACCCTCTATGATACTGTACTCTATAATACCCTCTATAGTCCTAACCCTCTGTAACACCCTCTATGATACTGTACTCTATAATACCCTCTATAGTCCTAACCCTCTGTAACACCCTCTATGATACTGTACTCTATAATACCCTCTATAGTCCTAACCCTCTGTTACACCCTCTATGATACTGTACTCTATAATACCCTCTCTAGCTCTAACCCTCTGTTACACCCTCTATGATACTGTACTCTATAATACCCTCTATAGTCCTAACACCCTCTATGATACTGACCTGTAACGCGTAGTCTTCATTCTCTCCTCCAGATGTTCCTCCTGTGACTCCGTCCACGAGCCAAGCAGCCAGCGGGGGGGAGGCTGCGCCTCCAAGCGGCAGAGCGGCGGAGGGCGTGGCCCCGGGAGACGCAGCCTTTGCGGAGGCCACCACCTCCACAGCCGGTACTGGTACTGATCCACACTGAGGGTGTAGCTTCACTCCTCTTCTCTTCAGATGTGTCTGTCCCATAGCTCAACCTAATTACCACTCACTCACAGACCTCCGGTCCCCGGATAGCAAAGGACTTTTTTAATTTTGTATATGCTGACGGCGTCGCGTTCCCTAAAAACAACCGTTCATGTCTACTTTAAACATCACAGAGGATTAAGACCAGTCTGTATATATTCTGGTTTGAAACCCAGAAGGTTTTGTGTGAAGTGTCCCTTAACAGTGTTTACAACTATTATACTGTGTATAACTTTATAAACTTATAAATAAATATGAAGTCTTCCCAGATGAAGTGTGCTATGGATCTGATCACGGGAAGCTGTACCGACGTCACCTTTAAAGGTATTTATGTGTTCATATGCATGTTATTAATTGTGCTTTACACTTTGAACACCGGTAGGAGGAGCTCAAAACCCACAAATATGGATTAAAGAAGATCAAAAACATGTTGTGAATTATCGAAATGATTCCGTCTATCCTTGTTCAATAAATGTTGACTTTTGGGATTTTACAAAGCTCTGGTTTCATTTGAAGTGTTTTTTGAAGTACAGCTGCTGCTGGAATCTAATGATGCTAATAAAGTTCCTGAGCATAAAGGTCAAAGTTCACCAGCCTTCATCACCATCTGCTCAGTACAGCCCTAACGCAGTAGTTATGTATTGATAAACTCTAATACATAGTTCAACCATTTTAACATGCTTACTTAAAAGATTAAGAAACATGCATTATATTTCCGGAGCTTGTCGCTGATCCACCTAAGATGAGCTGCTCCTCTTGACTCCTGAGTAACGTTCCATCTCGACTCTGATTGGTCCAGGAGAGTCTCCAGAGTTGGGCTCCGGGGAAGACGCCCTGGCTCGGATCCGCCGGCTGATAGCCGAGGGCGGGATGACAGCGGTGGTCCAGCGGGAGCAGAGCACCACCATGGCATCGATGGGCGGCTTCGGCAACAACATCATCGTAAGCCACCGGATCCACCGCGGCTCCCAGACCGCCGCGGGGGCCTCCAGGCCACCGGACCCCCTCCTCCTCGCCCAGACCTACGGGCCACCCCTGCAGCCCCAACAGCCGGCCCCCTGGGTTCTCCAGCCCTCTGTCCTGGACGATGACTCTGGGCCGGGCCCCTCCTCCTCCCTGCTGCTGTCTTCCCCCTCGCCGCCCCCATCCTCCTCTCACAGCCCTGTCCCCAGCAGTGGGGTGGGCTCCTCCAACAGTTACCAGGGCGACCCGTACAGCAGGTAGTTCTCGTATTTGTGGAGAGAAGCAGAGCCTTGCTCCGCGTAGCCTTATCTCTCAAAGAAATGGGTGCTGCTTTGACTCTGAACTGAAGGGACCCCCACTCCCCGTGCTCTTCCCCTGCACTGCAACAAACACAACTTAAGCTGAACCGCGATCATTCCTCAGCTGAAAGGGCTTTTACTTGAACGGAGCTCTGAGCTCCCCCCTGCCCGACTGTCAGCGGGATGGAAGGTTCCTCAAAGTGCCATGTTGGGAGGGGGGCGCGCGCACGCACACACACACACACACACACACACACACACACACACACACTTACTCCAACGTTCTGCATTTGGTGCCATGTTATGTCAAAATTTCATGTGAATTAGTGCTTGAAGTGTTTCAAAAGTGAATTCAGCACTACTTTTATTTTGAAGCCTGTTTTTGTACCGTGTTTAATTATGATGTTTGGAAAGAGGAGCTGGAGGCGGGGCTACATGGGGACTACATCTGGATCCTATCGGAACTCTGAATCATGACTCCGCCTCTCAACTCTGAATCATGACTCCGCCTCTCAACTCTGAATCATGCCTCTCGACTCTGAATCATACCTGCATCATGACTCAGAATCCTGAATCTGAAGCTTGACTCCGCCTCCTTGAGGAAGTCCCTCCCCACCAGGGACATGAATGAGGGCCGACTGACTGAATCGACTGCATGACTGCTGAAAAATGCTGAAATACACAAATACATCAAACTCTTTTTTTAATGCTGAAGAGAGACTTGATAGCCCTCCCCACCACCCCAAGACTAAACAAACTGTGTGTGTGTGCGTGTGTGTCTGTGCGTGTGCGCGCCATTTTACTGGATCACAGTTGTAACTGCAAGAAAAAAGCTGTTATTCTTGGAGGTTTAAGTCAAAAATGAAGCTGTGTGTGTGGTGGTAATGGGGGGAGTCGTTGTGCTTTTTTAACATGTATTTGTAAATGGTCGGCAAAATGTAAAATATAAGTGTGGAAGTGAGACCTAGTGTTTGTGGATTAAAGATGGCCGCTGTAAACAGGTTGTGCTCCCAGTGTGTGTTAATGGCGGGGGGTGGGGGGGGGGGGGGGGGCATTTAATCGCGCGGTATCTCATATATCTCATCAATAATCGTTTCATCTTTAAGATCAATAGTCATGAGTCATGAGTTCTTTTAGGCTTTAGTGACTTCTGTTAACAAAACCTCAATAGATTCCATAATAATAATAATAAATCAGATAATCATCAAAACCACAAAAAGATCTTTTACTTTATATATATATATACATATACACACACACACACATTGTTCATATTATTTAGTCCACCTTCAACACTTCAGCAGACCGATCCCAGGTCTTACGTTTGAGCTGTGGGCGGAGACTCCTCTATGCTAATGAGAAGGAAACTATATAAACTGCTGCTACTGTCGGAGAAGACGGGGCTGGGGAGGAGAGACAAGACCACCAGGTCCAAGATCTGTGGTAAGTCCCATTAAATTTACTTTTTGCTGTTTTATTTTTTTTTCAGGTATCCCATTTTTTTTCAAAAATGTATTTTCATAATAAGACAGGAAAAGCAATCAAATATAAGACTTTAAAATGATTAAAATAAAACTATTATAAAGAAAATAGAATAGGAAAGCGAATTTTCATAATAGGAAGGAAAACCATTGGTTCATTAAGACAGGAAACAGTATAATTTTATTTTCGGAATCATTTCAGTGATATTTTCCGTTGACCAGTGTAGCGTCAGAACATTGTTGTATTAGCATGCTAGCTAAGTAGCCAGCCATCTGCTAGTTAGCGAGCTCCAACATGCTGTGACGCTACACAAACTAAAGAAAATGAGGTATCAATATACGCAGAATCAGATATTCATGCAACTGGGCTGTGTTTGTGTATGCAGGGAAATGGGCGGAGCACCTGAACCCCATCTCAACGCCTCCCTTTGGCTCCTCCCCTGCACCAACGCCTCCTGTCCGTTTGGCGCCGCCCAGCTGGTCCTGATTGCCACAGTAACCGCCTCCCTCAGCGCGGTCACCGTGGTGGGCAACACCCTTGTGATCCTGTCCATCAAGGTCAACCGCCACCTGCGCACCATCAACAACTATTTCCTGCTTAGTCTGGCGGTGGCCGACCTGGTGGTGGGCGTGCTCTCCATGAACCTGCACGCGCTCTACCTGCTCCAGGGCTGCTGGCCCCTGGGGGCCGCCGCCTGCGACCTGTGGCTGGTCACCGACTACGCGGTGAGCAGCGCCTCTGTGATGAACCTGCTGGTCATCAGTCTGGACCGGTACTTCTGTATGACACGGCCGCTCAGCTACCCGGCGTGGCGGACAGGCAGGACGGCTGGCCTGATGATTGCCGCTGCCTGGCTGCTGCCCCTCATCCTCTGGGCGCCCGCTATCCTGAGCTGGCAGACGCTCGGGGGGGAGCGTGTGGTTCCTGAGGGTGAGTGCCACACTCGGCTGCTGGCCAGCCCCGCCGTCACCCTGGCCACGACGCTGCCCTCCTTCTACCTGCCAGCGCTGGTCATGATTGGCCTGTACGGCCGGCTGAGCGCGGCCAGCCGAGGCCGGCTGAGTGCATCGAGTCCGTCTGGTCAAGACTTCCTCCTAAAGCGGCGCAGCCTGGTAACCAGCGACCCGGGCTCCGACGCCTCTCTTGGCCAGTCGGGGTCCCAAATCCTAAAGTCCAGGAAGAGACAGAAGGCGTCCGGAGGTGGAGGCAACGCCGCAGGACCTCAGCCACGTGGCGCTCGGGCCGCCGCTCGCCACGCTGCTTACGAGAACTACGACAAGGTGGACACAGACTCATCGTCCAACGCCGACCTCCACCGGAAGGCGTCGGCAACGTTCTCCTCCTGCCCCAGCTTCAGGTCTCAGGAAAGACGCAGACGTCGGGTGATGGCGAGGGAGAGGAGGGTCACCAAAACCATCCTGGCCATCGTGCTGGCCTTCATCTTCACCTGGACGCCGTACAACGTCATGGCCGTCGTGGCGACCTTCTGTCACGCGTGCGTCCCGGGCGCCCTGTGGACCACGGGCTACTGGCTCTGCTACGTCAACAGCGCCATCAACCCCGGCTGCTATGCCCTCTGTAACGTTGCCTTCAGGAAGACTTTCTGCAGCCTCCTGCGCTGCCGCCACAGGAGGCTGCGATGACACATAATTATGACAAATACTACATTACCCATGAGCTTCGGCTAAAAGGTTGGTTTATCCAATCGACTGGACTCTGAACTGACCAGGGCCCGGTCCATCGTACGTGGTCCAACTAAGTCGATCAAAGGTCCCGTTAGCCAGCTCAAATTAACCCGATGATTGAAGTTGGGCCATCTCGGTTCCTTAAAGACCGATCAGTCTCGTTAGTTTGAGCCAGACTTCAGTCATCAGGATAATTGGGCGTGCATGTCCTGCTTCTAAAGGTTGAAAAGTCGAACACCAAAACCATGATTATCTAACAGCACAACAGCAAATAAAGTTAAAAAAAGACAAGCAGGAGATGATGATGAATATGTTTCATGTATATGAAGATTATTTTGTTGTATGAATTGAATGTAGTGCACATCTTTCACGTTGTTCATTCTGTCCACATGACATCCATCACAGTCTGTCCATCCTGGGGGGGAATCCTACAACGTTTTCACTGAGGTTTTTCCTTTATTCTCCCCATTGAAGGGTTTTTCATTTTTTGGAGAGTTTTCCTGTGCCGATGGGAGCGTTTCGGGACATCGAGGACACAGGATGACAGTGTGCAGACTGTAAAGCCCCCTGAGGCTAAATTGTCATTTGGGGCTATACAAAATAAAATTAATTGAATTGAATCAAATAATCATGGCAAAAACTGATACCAACCCCCTGTGAGGCTACAGGCTGGCAAAGTATTGCAGAAAAGTGTTTAAATGTATAGACTCATTTTAAGTGCCTCATCACTCCAATCAATCAGATTATATTTCTTTAAATGTGCCTGCTGGCAGGAGGATTCATGGAATGCATCATCACCAAATGAGAATAATCATCTCATTGATCTCAGGGTCTGAATACTTATGACCATGTGATATTTCCGTTTTTCTTTTTTAATAAATTCGCAAAAATTTCTGTGTACATTTACAGTGTACATTAATGAGTAAAATGAACTTTTTTGTTTTAGCAAATGGCTGCAATTTAAAGGGGTCCGTACCCACTGTATGTACCATATGCGCTTAAGTATCATATGCATGTATATATATGTATGTGTAGATGACCATATAGAACTAGGAGTTGTATTATGTGTGTGTGTGTGTGAATCTGTATGAGCAAATCACTATGTATTCAGAAGTTTGTCTTCTGCAAGACAGTAAATGCTTGGCTGCAGCATGTGGTGTTCATCATGTACGGCTCAAGTAAATAAAAATAAATAGATGATTCCTTGGTAACGTGAGCGGCTCGTTGTGTGTTTGTTATAAATGTGTGTTGTTACATTGATGTTCATAAGAACAGTACATGGACCCGGGGGGTGGGGGAGAGGGTCAGGTGAGAGTCTGGCTGTATGGTTTGTTCTAGCGTTTTATGTGCATTAACACGACATCGGTTACCAATGTCACATAACTTTAGCGATTTCCTAAACTAAGATGTGATGTTATATATTATAACATTTCTATCGGTAGATATTGGAGTGAATTCTATTAAAGTTACATTTAAAAGTAAACTCTTCGCTGTCGGATCACCCGCCTCCGTCCTGAATAAATTCAATTAAAAGATCAGATGTGTCCTCCAAATCGGCTCCTGGAGGGCTGCGTTCGACGAATACGTCCTTAAGGATGCAGCCTAGCGACTTTGAGACACAGCCACAGCTACTGTCTTCAGCATCTGTAGCGCTCGTATAGGAAGTGATGTCATAACAAATCTTTGTGATCATGGAGAACTATAAAACGTTAATCTGATATTGATGAGGAAGACTCACCACTGCCCCTTTATTCCAGGGGGGGTGGTGAGCTTTCGGCTGAAAGGCCTTCTGGGAGTTTTAGTTTACTTCTGTGAATCTTTAGAATTCTCTCCCAAAGTGTAATTATTTAGCTTTTATTTTGAAGTAGTTGTTGGAGATATGAGTGAGACCTCGTTCTTAAAATGAATGTAATTTGTTACTTTACTGTTGCATGTCGTGTTTAAAAGTCATTGAAGTTCATAATGTTATGAAGTCACAAGTCAACCCCACAAAGGAAAAATTTTCACACGTGAAAATCCCCAAAAGTCATATTTTTCCCAAAAGTCATAGAAAATCATAAAAGGAAATCAAGTTAATTTTTTACAAAACCTGCCTTAAGTCTATAATAAGTGAAATATTGCAAAAGGTGCAAGAATAGATGAGTCAAAGAAACAATTCAAACTCAAAAATCAGTCACAAGAAGTCTTTAAATCCATAGTGGTTTGTTTTGTGTCCTCAAACCGTTCCTCTGTGATAGGATGCTTCTTGTTCGGTTTCATTTAATCTTCTTACACATTTACAATACATATGAAAATAAACTAAAGCATAATCTCCATTTGCTCACATTCACCAACAACATTGCATGGTGCAACAGCATAAGGAGATAAGGAAAGGAAGAATTGGAGCTCCTTATTTCAAAGGAGCTTTCATCATCGTTACTCTCTCTCTCGCTGACCAGCTACAAAAGTAATTAAACAAGTCCAGTAAGGCGACATTTGAATGAATAATTAGGAAACATCTTTTATATTTGCATCTTATATTGCACTGTAAGAGCGTTGCCTTGTTCGTGCACTGCTCCACTAGACACTGATGAGATTGAGGATTTAGGTCCTGGATACACCATGTTTGACCCTGGAACGGCAAAAGGTTTTCACCACTAAACCGGATGTGGATACCTACAAGGAAGTGTTGCGTGTCAAAGTGGAATAAATTGATTCTAAACCCTACCAGAGTTTTCTAAACAGCAGCAATGTGCAGGACTCGTCCAGGTCATTCCAGAGGTAGATGCACCTCAGTAGCTCAGCGATAAGACTCCTCCTATGTGGCAATAAATGGCTTCTGATTCTAAATGCTCACCAATGACTTTGAACTCAGGGAGCACCTGAACGCACCACCAGAGATCAGCAAAAAAAACATCACGATGAAGCTTTTTAATCTCTTAACAGAAAAGTCACTTCGTCCTAAAAACACATTTATGTCAAACGTTCAGAACGGCAGGAAGTGAGGTCACGAGAGGTCGCCTCTTAAATAGACACAATACAAAAGGACAAAAATAAATACAAAATGTGGGTGGAGCCCAAATGAACCCATGAATGTGGTTCAGCTCATCTGTTTGGTCACGCGGAAGTGTTGACAGGAAGAGCTGCATGGACATCCGCCGTGTTCCTAAACTGTCCAGAGGACGTTCCTCGGTTTCCATGACGACAGAAACTCCTGTAGACCCTTGCGGTTGACTCGTCAGCTTTTCGCTCGTCACCGGGCAACAGAAAGCTCAGGATAAACAGGCTCCGCCTCCTCAGAATAAAACCGGTCTCCGTGGCTTAACTTCCCAGCCCCCAAGAAATGTCCTACCCGAGACCCCGACGCAGGAGGACCAGGTCGGATGATCAAGGTGCAGCTCTCCTGTTGGAACCAGGACCAGCTCTGTGTGCAAACCCACCACGTCCGTCCCGGTTCTTAGCGTCCATCGACGATATCCACCACGGACCAGGGTGCCTGTGTTGTGACCCTCCCCCCCTCCAAGAAGAGTGCTGTCTACATGAGGGCGTTGAGGTGTCCAGAGTGTCCTACAGAGTTCAGCATCAGGGTCCGCTGGTCCAGAACCTCCCGGTCCCGGCCCAACGAGGCCCTCTCCTGCTCCAACATGGCCCGGTCCCGCTCCACCGCCGCCCGGTCCCGCTCCACCGCCGCCCTCTCCCTCTCCAGCCACAGCCGCTCTGACTGCACCGCCTCTCTCTCCCTCTCCACCGCCTCCCACTCCCTCTCCACCGCCTCCCTCTCCCTCTCCATCCTCTCCCTCTCCAGTCCTCCCAACGGCCCGTCACTCTCCTCCTCCGGGCCGCACTTGTTCTGCTCGCCTGCATCGCCAAAGGCCTGCTGTCCATAGTCCAAGGAGGAGGTGGTGGTGGTGGGCGGGGTAGGGGCGTGGCGGGACTTGTGTCGGGGGGAGGGCTGCTGCTCGTCGCCCTGAGTGACAGGGGTGAGGAGGGGGGCGCTGTTTGTCAGGCGGCCCTCCATAGCTTCATTCATCAGGTGGAACCACGGCCAGGAGGAGGTGCTGTCTGCTACTATCTCCATGCCCACAGGAGGAAACTTTAGGTCCTAAAGGATGAGGGAGAGAGGGAGGATACGGAGTCCCATCAAAGTTGCATGTTAACTCACATGATCTGCGTTTCTACGTCATGATCGTTACTTCTCATGAGCAGATCAATGATGAGTCACTATTTACAAGTTCCTGCCGCAAGGAATTGTGGGACGGAATTATCTCCTTTCCTTTGGTAAAGATGGCCCAGTGGTTCCTGTGCTAAAGGAGCCAGGTAAGGAAGCATTGAAGCTCCTCTCCTTAGCACAGAACAGCTCATGTTCATGGCGCCACTTACGCTACTTCACGTCACTCAGCGAGGAAGACAACGGAGTTGAAGTCCGCACATGGCGGCCATCTTGCCACAGGGAGCTCGCTCACCCATAACATTGCGTTGGTAGTGGTACATGTACTTTTTAAATAACCATAACTTTCTCAATTTAACCGGTTTAGTTTCAGAGATGTAGTTATGAGACTGCATACACAGACATACATACAAGGATTTATTTTAAACGAAACAAGCTTGCTAGTAAAATACTATTTAACAGTACTAAAAAGCATTAGCAAGACCGTGGAGACGTCATCAAGTCAGCTGCTGTTACAACTGTGGAAATGACCACTCTCCCGTTCCTGTGAGTCTGTTCTCCCAAGAACGCAAGTCTGTTCTTGCCTTCTTAGGTATTGAGAAAGGGCCAGGCGACAGGAAGTGACACGTAGTGAGCTCACCTTGTATCTTCTCTTCAGGTTGTCCCACTTCTTCGCCATCTGATAGGTGGAGACTTTCCCGCCCAGCCCCAGCTCCTTCAGGATGGCTCTGAGAGAAGATCACACATCTGTAGCACGATGCTACTCCACCCACCCACAGACTGTAAATCTCCACCCACAGACTGTAAATCTCCACCCTTACTTCCAGGCAGCTTTGGCAGCGTTCCTTCTCCCGGTGAAGAGACCCTCGTTAGCAGATCGTAGTTGGATCATCCTCCTGGTGTCCTGGTCCGTCACTGTGAGACGGACAGAGACAACCCTTTATATCTTTTATCCCATCTTTACCGCCACACTCAGAACTGACACATAAACATCCCAGTAAGTTATTCTACATTTAAGACTACTTCCAGCCATCAATAATGAATGGTATATTAACCACGGCATGGTAACCATAGCAACTTCAGACCTCATGTGACCCGTTACAAATGATGTGGTCATGCTCATTTGTGACAGGAGATTATCATTGGATTTGAGTTTTATTATAAATATTATTAGGGACAATTTATTTGATCTTCTCACGTTTCTAAACGTAGATGTGTTTACTGGAGCGAGTACGTTTCTCTGAGCATTAACGAATGTGAACTTTAACTTGCCGTTCATCAAAGTGCTTTAAATTCTATCCTTTTGTTTCAGATCAAAACTAAAGGGGAGCGAGGCAACTCGGTGGCGAGGTCGTCTCACTTTTGTAGGAGAGGTCGGAGGGCGTGGAGCACTCCTCCCCGCTGGCGTCGATGTAGGTCACATTCCCCTCGCCCCCCCCCAGGCTCTCTAGCTCCGACACACTGCTCCTCTCCACCAGCAGACAGTCTCTGTCGGGGGGGTGAGGGGGGGACGCGACGAAGACGCCGTCCTCCTCGCTGCTCCACACGGGCGCCACTCGAGGGGCTTTGCCCGCCAGCCGCCCCTCCAGGGCCTCGTTCATCAGCTGGAACCACGGCCAGGAGGCCGGGTTGGTCTGCCCCTCCATGCCGCGAGGGGGGAACTTTAGGTCCTGGAGGCAGGCAGGGACACACACACGCACACACACACACACACACACGTACACACAGTTTTTTCACACGCAAGACCCGCAGCTCCTGCTCAGGTGGGACCGCTGGAGGTCGTTCAAGGTCACCTTGAACTTGGTCTTCAGGTTATCCCACTTCTTGGCGACCTGGTCAGGTGTTATCTTCCCTGTGAGGCCCATCTCCTTCACAATGCCCCTGTAGATACACACATTAGTGTCATGGGCAACAGGGACCCTCCCCCCACAAGACACTGATGGCTGGTCCGGATACCTCCCAAACCGGGTTTGGCCGTGTTCCTCCTCCCAGTGAACAGCGACTCGTTAGTGGCTCGTAGCTCGATCAGTCGCCGGGTGTCGTCCTCAGTCACTATAAGGGAGGTCAAGGGTCAAATACCATGTTGTTGCTTCTCATCACATTGACGAGCTCCAGGAGACTTCGGGCAAATATAGAAAATATAATATTCAGAAGTATGTTCTTATCAGCGGCTGAAGGTCTCACGTTTGTAAGTGAACTCGGCCATCCGCTGCAGCTCCCCAAGAGACGCCGCCCCGTTCTTGTCCTCGTGGTCCACCAGCAGATCCATCTCTGACTCAGTCAGGAACTCGGCCATCCCCCCCCGACTGCGGCGCGCTCGCTTCCTGGGCGTCGGCGACAGCGGCTCGCAGTCCTCGTCCTCGTCCTCCACAATGGGCGTGAGGATGGGCGCCGCCCCAGCAGAGCGGCCCTCCATTGCGTCGTTCATTCGGTAGAACCAGGGCCAGGAGCTGGGGTTGGTCTCCACGCCGCGAGCAGGAAACTTCAGCTCCTGGTAGAGACGGAAAGCTCTACAGATCGTCCACAGAGGGACCTCATCCTGCTGCCGACACGCTGCCACCGGCCAATCACAGCTCGACTTGCTGCGCTTTCTGTTAGGGCCGGGGAACATCAGGACTAATGCAAGAACCTCCTCAGGCTCCTGGTCGGTGATGGGTCACCTCCTGGTTTAACGCTGTAGCTTGAAGGGAGGTTTGGTAAAAACTAAAGATCTTAACCAGAAATACTTCACTCATCAGATTAGTCTGTGAGGTCTCCTCTGGAGGTTCTAAAAGGTCAAAGGTTAGAAGCTTCACTGTATCATCTCGTTTTATCTTTTGAAATGTTGGCGGTGCTTTTTAGCACAAAACAACCATTGACGACATTAAAAGAAAGATTCTTGTTTTTTCCCCGTGTTCCCAAATCGCCCCAAGTCAACCGCCTGATCCTATTGGGGTCAACAATGGCGCATGGAGTAGAGAGGGTGCGCTGGGAACCACAAGCGGATTCGGGTAGGAGATTCAGCGCAATCTCAGCTAACTTGCTTGACGAGTACACGGTATTCTGGTGGAAGTCTGTTCTGGCTCGGTAGTTTAAGTCACATTCACAAAACTGGAAATCAACTCTCTGATTTTATCGTAAGAGTATTTTCAGATAATTAATCTCACAAAGTGAGGAATTGCTTCAAGTTACTGTCTCACATTGACTTTTTTTTGGTCAGATGTTCTGCAGACATTAGGACCTGTAGAACCGCCTCTCCACCAGCAGTCTCTGACCAGAGGTTCTTGCATAAAGCCCGGGGTCTCCTGATCAGAGAGCAGGCTGTGGGTCTTGGAGCGGTGGCGTGAGGAGCTGGGAGGTGCGTGGACCCGGACCTACCTTGTACCGCCTCTTCAGGTTGTCCCACTTCTTGGCCAGCTGATCCGTGGTCAGCTTCCCCTGCAGTCCCAGCTCGTACAGGATGGCTCTGAAAGACGCCCAAAGTTATGACGTCATTTGGATGTAAAGTAATAATACAACTAATCATTGCTCTGTTTATTTCACACAAAAAACTAAATCTTAGGACCTGAACAGACTTTAGGAACTGAAGAGGGTGGACTAGGGCATGGCGGAACACCGGCTTAAAATTTCCTTAAAGTATGAATTCTTCACACACCGTCATACCGGTACAGCCGTGAAGAGTGTCGCCCTTTGGCAGGCGGCACAATATTTTGTTCACCGCCGAGCGTGAAATTGTACATTTATAAAATGACCCCACCAAACCGCGCGCTGGGGACAGCTCGACCGCTATCACAACAAGAAATAAGTTTCTACATAAAAACACGGAAGGAGCGATGTAGGAGGACCAACGAGAGACCAGAGATGCACCAACAGAACTTGTGGACACAGCGGCGGTCCCTTTAAGCGCCAACGAATCATTGCGTTTCCTTGAATAGAAAAAACGTGATACCGCCAGAATCATACAAAATACAGTGATGGGGAACTTTTGGCCATACCGCCCAGCGGACCTCGGGACCCAAAAGGGTGGGCCTTATGACCCAGCAGTCAGCCATGAGCCCTCTGAGAACTGACCTCCAGGCAGGTTTGGCTGAGTGCTTCCTGCCGGTGAAGAGAGCCTCGTTAGCAGCTCGTAGTTTGATCATTCTCTCTGTCTCCGGTTCAGTCACTGAGGAGGAGGAACAAAGGGCTCAGATAAGGGGGGAGGTGAGGAGGAGGGTGTGAGGATGAGAAGCAGGATGCAAGGAGGAGTTGAACTCTGGGTTAACACCATCTTTAATAGAGCATCGTCATCCTCCTCAAGCCAGTGGGACCCCCTCGGTGGGCGGCGGGTTTTCTAGGACCGTCGCCCCATGGTAGGTGGCGACCTGCGGCGCCGTGTCGTCCATCTCCGTCTTGATGAGGAACTCCAGGATGTCAGTGTTCTCCTGGTGGTCGGACCGGAGGCCTCCCCCACAGCAGCGGGGGGGGTGGTGGGCGGCAGCCTCCGGGCCCAGCACCAGGCTGCTGTTGTAGAGGCGGCCGTGCATGGCTTCATCCATGATGTGGAACCAGGGCCACGACTCCACCGCCCCCCCAATGCTGTCCTGGCCCTGGTACGGCTGCTTTAGGTCCTGGGGGGGTCACAGATAGACTTTACATGTGGTTCTAACCGATCCAGACTAGAAAAAGAGAAAAGACTGCGCTTCATTCTCCTGGAGGAGAGAGTGCATGATGCAGAACATTCCAGTCCAATAATTATGTTTAATCACACTGCAGAAGTCACACTTTATATTAAAATGAATAATAATCTAAATAGATCTTAATAATATTGGTGCTTAAATGACATTACTGTTTTCCTTTGGTTCTACTATATTTATTCTACCCAAAGCCCTAGTGTTTATTAATTGTTCATTAATAACTTATATTCATGTAATAAATAAACACGAGCTGCATGTTAAATCATCACCTTGTATTTAGTCCGCAGGTTGTCCCACTTTTTGGCAATTTGATCGGCTGTGAGTTTCCCCTCAAGACCGAGGCCCTTTAAGATGATGCTGGTGGTGGGGGGAAAAGAACAGGAGGAGTGGCGTAAAAAGTCAATATTCCAGTAAGATACAAGTACCCGGAGGTACTGAAACACCTGGTCAGTACCTCCATGCGATCTTGGCAGAGTTCCTCTTCCCGGTGAACAGAGCCTCGTTGGACGCCCTGAACTCAATCAGCCGCTTCACGTCCTCCTCAGTCACTACAAATGGGTCAGAGGTTAGGGGCAAGCTCATCTGATGCTTGAGTTAAGTACTCCACACGGTCCTTGGTCCATCTGATTAAGACCCTGGGAGCAGGAGAGACACTGGGTGCAGGAGAGGGAGCAGGAGAGACACTGGGTGCAGGAGAGACACTGGGTGCAGGAGAGGGAGCAGGAGAGACACTGGCTGCAGGAGAGACACTGGGTGCAGGAGAGGGAGCAGGAGAGACACTGGCTGCAGGAAAGAGCACTGGGTGCAGGAGAGGGAGCAGGAGATACTTCTGGTTGCAGGAGAGGGAGCAGGAGAGACACTTGGGTGCTGGAGAGACACTTGGTGCAAGGAGAGGGAGCAGGAGAGACACTGGGTGCAGGAGAGGGAGCAGGAGAGACACTGGGTGCAGGAGAGGCACTGGGTGCAGGAGAGGGAGCAGGAGAGACACTGGGTGCAGGAGAGGCACTGGGTGCAGGAGAGGGAGCAGGAGAAACACTGGGTGCAGGAGAGGCACTGGGTGCAGGAGAGGGAGCAGGAGAAACACTGGGTGCAGGAGAGGGAGCAGGAGAGACACTGGAAACACGAGCGACAATGCGAGCAGGACATGATTACTCACTTTTATAAGAGTTTTCTGAGAACTGGGACAGAGGGTTGAGGGTTGACTCCATTGTGATCATGGAAGAAGAGGTCTGACACTCCTCTGCCAGCTAGGAAGGAGGAAAGGAAGGAAGTGCTCTGGCACTCGGGCCCAATGCTAACTACTGACGTCAGGCTACATCCGCTAGTGCATCCTGCGAATTTACGAGTTAGCTCCTCGGTCCATCACGTGAGACAGCGCCGGTAAAGATGTACTTTACAGGGCGGCGGTTAGCCGTCTCCTCCCGAAGCTAACTCCCGGTTACCGACTGAGAGAAGCGCGCTGCTCGCTAGCTGCTAACGGTAACCCTAAAAAACAAACGGGCTTCCCGCCACACAACAACACCGGTTTCCGGTAGCCCCGGTTGATCTTGACATTCGTATCCTCGCGTTGTTATGCGTCTTCGTCACCAGAGAGAACACTGCTGTAACTTATATGACACCGGAGCTACCGGGAGCTAACCCTACAGCCCGTTTCCTCTGCTCGGTGAGGGTACGCTCGAAAACAGCGCCGTGGAAGTGTCCCCGTCAGATGACCTGCAGCTGGGGAGGAGGCGGGCTTACACGGAAACATCCTCGTCACAAATACAACAAAACAGTGATAAAGCACCACAGAATAAGAAAACATAGAAAACAAATCCAATAGAGATGAAATATCTAATGACTTGAAAGTAAAGTAAAATAAAATACATTCTACACACACAGAAAAGGACGCATTCTCACAAATTTTTAAAAGTCTAGGAATTTATTTGCTTGCCACTCGTTTACTTTCTTTCATTGTGTACATTAATTATTTTGGCACTTTATTGAATAATGTCATAAACACCAGAACAACAGCCGGTCATGGCCTTGTGCATTAAAAATATAAATATATAAAGTGATTGATTCATAATTTAGTAAATGAGGGAGAGGAGAGTAAGGACCACAGTGAGATGTCAGTTTGTTGCTTTTGAATATTTCTCCCTGTTTCTCTTCATCATTATTCCATGTCATAAACACCGGAACAACACAGAGTTAAGATGAAAGGTCTAAAATTGAAGTTTGGTCACTAAAGCAGTTCAAAACATTGGTGCTCACGTACCATGGTGTGAATGGATCGGGTCCAGCTTACATCCAGGACATGGTCAAACCCTACATCCCAACCCACACTCTCGCTCTGCATCTGCAAAACTGCTCATCCCTCCCTCACTGGGAGCAAAACACTCGACTAGATCACCACTCTTTGCTGTCCTTGCTCCGAAATGATGGAACGAGCTCTCTGAAGACACCAGGACCACAGAGAGCCTTCACATCTTCAGACTCTACCTTGACTAAAAGACGAACAAATTGTAGCGCTTAAATTGTGGCTTATTTGAGAAAATTGCACTTTCTTGTTCCTTGTTCTTCTGAGTTTGTACCCCTATGGTTGAATGCACTTATTGTAAATCGCTTTGGATGAAAGTGTCTGCTAAATGACATGTCATGTAAAAAATGTAATGTAAAGAAGAGGAATATTGAGTCTTTATTGACACCAAACGGAACATGAAATAGTTGTGAGAAGTCCAAACGTGGTTTTCATCACACGACACTCACAGCTTCTCAACAAGCCTCTGGAACAAACCCACCAGTCTCTGTCTTGTCTCCAGCTGGTCCGGGTCCAGGTCCGCAGCCATCAGCCTCTGGAAGAACCTAGTTTGCAGCACCACTTCCTTCTCTGTGGTCACTTCAGCCTGATCTCCGTCCACGGCTGGCCCCTCCCTCTGCAGGACGGCCCTCTCTCTCCTCAGCAGCGCTCTCTCTCTTTCCAAGTCCTCTCTGGATCTCTCCAGGAACACTCGGTCTCTCTCCAGGAACGCTCGGTCTCTGTCCAGGAACGCTCGGTCTCGATCCAGAACAACTCGGTCTCGATCCAGAGCCACTCGGTCTCTCTCCACGGCTCCCCTGTCTCTCTCTATGGCCACTCTGTCTCTCTCTAGAGCGGCCGTGTCTCTGTCCAGCGCCTCCCTGTCTCGCTCCAAATCGATCAGCTCTCTGTCGAACTCGGCCTGCTCTCTCTCCAGAGCTCGCCACTCTGTGTGGAGCTCCTCCAGCCGACAAGCGGCCTCGTTGTCCTTCCCAGCGCCGCGTCCAAAGGATGACGGCGTTTGCTCGGGCAATAAGGTGCCAAACTGCCTGGCAGTCTGGCTCTTGTTGACGGCAGGTGGGCTCTCTATCACAGCCGGCTCACAATCGATCCTTCTCAAGTGATCAGTGTCCTGTCCGGCCGCCACGCCCTCAGCAGGCGACCCGGTTCTGCTCTCGGCCACGACGCTCCCGCTCGCTTCGATCCTGCTGATCTGCATGCCGCCCCGCAGCGTCCCCATGTCCTCCAGAATCCCTGACTGAACGTCGGGCAGTTCAGAAAAAGACGCTTCTGTTTTGGGAAGAAGGAGCATAGGCGGCGGCGTGGCAGCGAAGTTGTCCTCCTCGTCGTCGCTCGACGGGGACGGACGTAGGACGGTGGCGGTCCCAGCCAGGCGGCCGGTCATGGCCTCGTCCATCAGCTGGAACCAGCGCCATGAGCTAGTCGACATCTGCATGCCAACTGGAGGGTTCTTCAGCAACTGCACAGGACAGCGACCACAGAATTAAATGTTTCATTAGAATATAGAATTTCATTAAAATCAAGACAGCAAACAGGAAGCACAAAGACAACAGAGAACTTTGTTGGGAAGTTCTGTGAGACATTGAAGAAAGGCAGAAGAAGAATGAGACAAGAGAACCAAAACTGGATTAAAGCATCGTAGTGCTGTGGACAGGTTGTAATTTACTCATTCACTAACTAAAGAACGAATAAACAACTTCAGTAGCTGACTCACCTCAACTCCTTACACATCTACAGTACCTAGCTAGCTTACTACCTCACCAACTAACAGACACACTAACTGAGTAATTAACTCATGAACTCAGTAGCTAACTAACTCACAACTAACCTACTAACTAGCTTTCAAGCTAAATAAATACATAAATATACACACAAAACTAGTAGATTAGAAAGGTTCATCTCTAGTAGGGCTGTCAAAATTGCTCAAAAAGGACGTTCAAATATACTATAACTAACAAACAAACTCAATAACTAGTTATCTCCCTAGCTAGTTATCTCATCCACACACTAACACACAGACAAACAAATGACCTCACTCTCTAACTAGCTGACTACCTACCTCACCCAGTCACTCACTAAAACTGCCAAACTAAATAGCTAATTCACATACCAACCTAACTAACGTCGGCTAACTAACACACTGACCAGCCAGCTAACTAACAATTAGATAACTCACTAGCTAGCTCACTCACTCACTAACTACCTAGTTAGCTGTCTCACTCACTAACTAACAAGCAAAACATCTCACTCAAGCTAGCATGTTTAGCAAGCAACTCAGTATCTAGCCCATTAGCTAGCTAACAAACTAACTCACAAACTAGGTAACTAACTACCTTCAGAGCAAAGTAACTCAGCAAGCTAACTAGGTAAATCACTCACTCACTATAACTAGATAATTCACTAACTACTACACTGTCTCAAGTAACAGACAAACTGATAAATGTTAATAACTAGCTAGTTAATTAATTTGTAAACTAACAAACAAAACAACCTCACTCACCACTTACCTACTTAACCGGCTCCCTAACTAGCTAACTCACGAAATAGCAACGTAAAAATGCATAACCAGGTAGCTAACTGATTAGCTAAGCAAGTAACTCAGTCACTCTCTAACTGACTAGCAAACTATATATCCCGAATTAACTCACCAACCATTCAATAACTAGCCAACTCACTCACTAACCAGCTAGTTAACACAGCCACTGGCTATTTACAGACAAAAACAACATAATTCACTTACTTCCTCCCAAACAAACTCACAGACTAGCTGACAAGTTACCTTTACTTAAAAATGCAGTAACTATCTAATTAAGAAACAAACTAAGTAACTAGCTGATTAGCTTATTTACTAACTCACTAACTAATTAAGTTAAATAAATAACAAACTAACATACTAGCTTAATAACTGACTAACAAACAAACGAACAACCTCACAAAATAACTCACTCACATTAGGTAGCTAAATAACCAACTGACAAAACACCACACTCACTAACTAACCGATGGAGGTGGGCGCCTGTAAACAGTTTTTATAATGGAGTGCTGTCTTTGGAGAGATCCCGGTTAACAGCTTCCATTCTTGTTAAGCTAAAACCATTCTTAAAATAATCGATGACGGTTTAACTACTACTTACAATGAAAAATTACATCTAAACTTAAGCCATATTTAATAATTTTCATTTGTCTATCTCTAAGGAGCAGCTTTCGGTTGGATATCTTGCTCAACTTCAACATAAAGACAAGTAGTATCCTTCGATATTCTCCAGATTGTAGATGTTTGTGTGTTTTAGAGACTTCCTGTATAGATGATGACAGCTACTAAGTCTGAAGTGCAGCCAACAAAAAGGGCCGTTTCTGGAGTCCAGACTAAACACGAGATGTCAGCTGCTTGTGAGTCCGGAAAGAAACAGAAACACCGACCCTGTACTTGTGTTTCAGGTTGACCCACTTCTTCTTCAGCTGCTGAGCGGTCATCACTCGCTGGATGCCCATCTCCTTCCTGATGGCCCTGCAGGAGATCAAAGAGTTGAGTCAGAGATGAGGAACAGACCAACGGGATCCTGAAAGAGGATCTGAGAGCACACTGACCTCCATCCTCTCAGCGCAGAGTTCTTCCGTCCGGTGAAGATGTCGGCGTTGGTGGCACGTAGCTGTATCATCTGCCGGATGTCTTTGTCTGTCACTGTGACAACACATTTACCACCATCATCAGTCGTGTGTCTCCTTCTGACAGACTTCAGTGTCTTACACAAAACAAATAAAACACGCCTCGAGGGTTGCTGGCAACAACACCCCCGAAATGTTACATTATTGGACGATAAAGTACAGCCTCTTGTACCTTATTGCTTAATTAACTTACTAACTTCACGTTTACCACAGCACAAGATATGAGTACTTCTTCGTGACACTAACAATGATCATACACACGTTATTAAACTTTTCATCTCACTGTGAGTATACGTTTAATAAGCCAAGTTTAACTAGAAACATCAGTGTTGTTTTTGTCATTCTTAGCTAGCATTAGCATCTCAAGCACAATAGGGGACAAAGGAAAAGTTAGATTGACGTTAGCTTTAAAGCTTTTCACAATGTGTTATTATGAATATTATCCTAATATCTAATCAACATGTTAAAGACACATTACTTCTATATGTGTTCTCCATTTTGACCGGTCCTCCCTCCTGAAGTCCAAAACATCCGGTGGAGACCGGAAAAGTATGTGACTTTCTTCTTCTTCTGTAGTTTAGTCCCACTGGCGGCGCGTTCCTGCCGCTTAGTGGTGGATAAATATACAAGAAATCTGACTTTAATACATCTTGTCATGATATAACCATAGATTCAAATTTATTTCATATCCATCTTACGTAATGGACCAACATAAAGTAGTCCATCTGGAAGTCGGTGAAAGTTTACATGGATTTCAAAATGATTTATAAATAAAGTGTTGAGTGAATCTGTATTCAGCCCCGTTACTGTAAAACCCCTCACAAAGATCCGGTGCCACCAAATTGTCCTCACAAGTCACATAATTAGTAGATTGGGTCCGCCTGTCTGTAGTTAATCTCAGGATAAAAATACACGTGTTCTGTGGAGGCCTCAGAGTGTGTTAGAGCAGTGTTTTTCAATCAGTGAGGCTGTCAGGTGTGCCTCACTCGTTTCAAATCATGGTTCTGCGTGTGTTGCAGAGCAATTCACCGCCAGAACAACAGGCGGAGTGACGTGTTTTGTTGAAGACGACCTAGAGAGTCACGTCTATTTATTTATTTGTTTATTTATTTATCATAGACTTTATTGCCTCGTGCATCGCCACTGCTGCTTTTCATCGCGGACACATTTGTCCCGTATTTTCCTCCACAACTTTGTTCCTCTCGACCGGCAAACCGGCGTCTGCAGTGGTCATATTGACGCATTTCTTCCGACAAAAGTTCTTAAATCTGCTCTGTTCTTCATTCTTCGTTTTAATAATGGTGGTATCGGGCTATGAAAGCGGAAATGTGAGACTCCGTAAAGGACGTAGTTAGCGGACCAATCGCAGCCTGGTGCGCTGCAAAAAAATGTCTCGACACACGCAAGGACGCAAAGAGGTGTGAAAAGCGACGCAAGGGACACGCAAGGGGGTTTTGCGTCTGCGTCGCTCTGACAACGCAGAAGCATAAACTAGGCTTAAGAGATACCTGGGCATAAAGCCTGTGCCATCTTGTCATTAGGAAAGATGTTAAGTTTAATAAAACACAACAAATAGAACACGCGTTTCCCTGATTCGTAGAGTATATTATGCTCATGCTGAAACTATGTTTGGGATTGATTTTCATATCATTTCCGGTTGTTGGTGTGCCCGTGAGATTTTTTCTGTGTCTTAAGTGTGCCCTTAATGCAAAAAAGGTTGAAAAACACTGTGTTTGAGAGCATTACTGAGACGAAGGAGCTCACCAAACAGCCCAGGGACGAAGTTGTAGCTGAGTATGAAGCAGGGTTTGCTTAAAGAAGAATATCCCAAGGTTTGAACATTTCACAGAGCACCATAAAGTCCATCATCCCAAGATGGAAAGAGGCTCATGGGAACTCATGAGTGGGAACATGGGTCGCCGTGGCGCAGGGGTTAGAGAAGGTGGGCTGGGAAGCACAAGGTTCGATTCCAGGCTTCCCCATGTTCCATGTCGAAGTGTCCCTGAGCAAGACACCTAATCCCTAATTGCTCCCCGGGCAAAAAATGTGTAAAAGCCATGGGTTTAAAGTGTAATGTAAGTCGCTTTGGATAAAAGCGTCTGCTAAATGACCTGTAATGTAATGTACTGTAACTCTGGAGGAGCTGCAAAGATCCACAGCTGAGGGGGACAATCTGTCCACAGGACAACTATTACCGTGTCCTCCACTAATGTGTCCTTTATGGAAGAGTGGCAGGAAGAAAGACACTGTTCAAAACAGAATCCTGTTTGGAGTTCAGCGCAATGTGGGAGACAGAGCACCATGTGGAAGAAGGTGGGTTGAACTTCTGCCTCGATGCAAAACGCTGTGTGGAGGAAATCCAACACCACCCATCACTCTGAGCACAACACCCCAACAGGGGAACATGGTGGTGTAGCATCCTGCTTCTCTTCAGCAGCTACAGGAAACTAGTCACAATGAGGGAAAGATGGATGGAGACAAAAAGACTTGAGACTGTGGCCGAGCTTCAACTTCCAGCAACACGATGACCCTGAACCGGGGGTGCCCATACTTACTGCAAGTTACTTTTTGATTGACCAAGGTTGTTTGTCACAATAAAAGGTGTTTTGCACCTTCAGAGTACTGTGCACGTTGTGTTGTGGGAAAAGTCTGTGTAAGTCTCTTTGAATTCCAGTTTGTAACAGAACAAAATAGGGAAACGTCCAGGGGGGGGGGGGGGTCTATACCTCCTCTGTATATATAAATAATAGTAAATAGTTGATGACACTAATTTAAATTGAAAGACGAACAGATTAAACAAAACGAATTAAAAGAAAAAAATATTAAAACATTTGTCCTGGATTTGCTTCACTTTACATTTAAAATTATAGTATTTTATTTGAACTGCCATGTAGTATTTTATTCTATTAATGTATTTTACGTATTTCTATAAGCGAACATTCGTCTCTAAAAACCAAGGAAATAACATTTTTGACACATTGCCGTAACAAAATATCTTGATTACTATCTCTCATTATTAATCATTAATCATCATCGTCAAATATATCTCGCTGTTTACTGGAAGTCAAGACCAGATGATTACATCATACCGGAAACTGACGGGAACATTTCAGAATAAAGGTCTTAAAGATAAGTATACATGGACGAATATCTGTTTAAAGTAAGACAGATATTTGGATGGCAGTTATGGTGATGATGATGATGATGATGATGATGATGATGCAGTAATCTTAATTCATCCGCTTATTTTATCAGCTTGAACATATTTTGTCATAGAACTACTATTTCGATATCAATATAGTTGTTATTTTTCATCTTTTGATTGTTGATTTGAACATCTGTCTGTCACACGTGACATCTGTCACTGTCGGGCGATGTGGTTTTAATTTGAAGGTGATGAGCGGAAACTCACAACACCTGGTGTTGCTTTGTAACTTGTCCGGTTCCTGCGGCTGCACGAAGAACCTGATGAAGATGGATCTGCGTTATCAATGTCAATAGGACAATACGTCGCTTATTATTCCGAGCAGCTGTTTCCTCAACAGGTAACGTTACTCACCTGTGCTCATGATGACGTCATGTGCCATTTATCCCGTGGATTGCGAGTCCGTGTTGATCATTGTGATATTAAGCTGCTGCTCATCATCATCATCGTCATCATCGTCATCATCCTAATAACAATATGATTACTTATATGGAAGCGTGACCGTGAAATACAATAATTTAAATCCTCATTATGATTTGTATCATTATTATTATCAATATTATTGATAATATGTTACTGTAATTGTGGTTGTCATTTTTATTAGTGTCATGGTTATACTTATTTTCTTATTAATATCATAATTACTTTTATTACCATTTTGTAGTAGGTTCTTGATAATAATAATAATAATAATAATTCCAACTTGTATGTTTTTCGTTTACATCACACACTATTCATCTGTTATTCTGTTATGAATGTGTGTGTGTGTGCGCGTGTGTTTTTGTGTGTCTTTGTGTAGCACCATGTTGGCCAGGAAGGGCCTCCTACCTGACGGGTTCCTTCTGACCCGTCTCGCTGAGGACCAGAACCAGCGGAACCGGAGCCACTGCAGAGCTCAGAAGGCCCGCTTCATCACCAAGACTGGCTCCTGCAACGTGGCCCACAAGAACATCATGGAGCAGGTACTTCCCAGTACCTCTGAGTACTCTACTGTACAGAAGAAGTACTCTAACGTTCAGAATCAGAACCATTTATTGCCAAAGTATGTTGGACATACAAGAAATTTGACATGCCAAGTGATACATACATTGGACAACAACACAAGACAAATGTACACAGTGAAAGAAATATGGATGAAATATGATTATGAAATGTAAATATGAACGTACAATTCAATTTGGAAAAGAATTGAGAAGAATATCAAATTAAGTGGAGGTCAGTGGAGGACCTGGGCTCTGTTGATGAGTGACTGCCGACGGGAAAAAACTGTTGTGGCTGGAGGTCTTTTTCCTGATGGACCTCAGCCTCCTGCCAGATGGAAGGGGCACAAACAGGTTTTGTCCTGGGTGAGAGGGGTCGGCTACCATCTTTTTAGCTCGCTTCAGAGACCTGGAAGCGAACAAGTCCTGCAGGGACGGCAGATTGCAGCCCTCTCTGCAGAGCGGAGGACACGCTGCAGCCTGCCCTTGTCCTTGGCTGTGGCTGCAGCGTACCAGACGGTGATGGAGGAGAAGAGGATGGACTCCATGATGGCCGTGTAGAAGTGGACCATCATCGTCTTTGGCAGGTTGAATTTCTTCAGCCTCTGCTGAGCCTTGGTGATGGAGCTGATGTTCAGCTCCCGCTTGAGGTCCTGGGTGATGATGGAGCCCAGGAAACGGAAGGAGTCCACAGTGGTGATGGGGGAGTCACATAGGGAGATGGGGGAAGGTGGGACAGCGTTTCCACTGTAATCTAGATACTTCCACTAAATGGTGCCATTTCGTTTTAGGGTTTATTTAGATTCTGACACTTTTTTACTTCCATATTTCACCCATCATAACTTTTTCACGACACTGCATTAGAAGAAAACGTTTCATTTGACGAAAAGAAATGAGAAGATGATCCCAACAGAGTGAAAGAGGAATTCAGGAGAGGCTGATCAAGTTTAATCCAACGTGACAAAAGTGGCTCACAATAATTACTCTCTCCTTCAGGGTCGCTTCCTGCAGGATGTCTTCACCACCATGGTGGACCTGAAGTGGCAGCACTCCTTCCTCATCTTCACCTCCGCCTTCCTCTGCTCATGGATGCTGTTTGCCATGATCTGGTGGCTCCTGGCCTTCGCCCACGGGGACCTGGAACCCCGTGACCCGGACGGCGAGCCGGGCCCTGTGCCCTGCGTCACCGCCATCCATTCCTTCACTTCCGCCTTCCTCTTCTCCATCGAGGTCCAGGTGAGAGACCCCGCAGAGGTTCCGACCCTTCAGGTGTGTTTGTCTTGGCACTGACCTCCCGTCTTGCTGCAGGTGACCATCGGGTTCGGGGGCAGGATGGTGACAGAGGAGTGTCCCCTGGCCATCACCGTGTTGATCATCCAGAACATCCTGGGGCTGATCATCAACGCCGTTATGCTGGGCTGCGTCTTTATGAAGACGGCACAGGCCAACCGCCGGGCCGAGACGCTTATCTTCTCCAGGAACGCCGTCATCGCCTCCCGCAACGGGCGGCCCACCTTCATGTTCCGGGTGGGGGACCTGAGGAAGAGCATGATCATCTCCGCCACCGTGCAGCTGCAGGTGACCCAGAGAGGGATTAGGCCCCAGAGGTGGAACACGACAGATCATGAAACAACTACAAAGAAGCTAATACTAACACAAAGAGACAGAAAACTACCACAAAGAGACCTAAACTACTAAAAAGAGACACAAAACGATTCCAAAGAGACCCAGATTACTACAAAGAGAGACAAAACAACCACAAAGAGACACAAAACTACTACAGTACACCTGTCCCTACCCGTCCCCCTGTTAAAGATGCCCTGCTCCGTCCAGTTGTTTCATGCCGAGGTGTCCCCCTGCAGGTGATCCGGCGCACGGTGACAGCGGAGGGCGAGGTGATCCCGGTGTGCCAGCTGGACATCCAGGTGGAGAACCCCCTGAGGAGCAACGGCATCTTCCTGGTGTCTCCTCTGATCATCAGCCACACCATGGAGCGAGGAAGTCCTCTGTACGAGCTGTCCTCCCAATCCCTGGCCTCTGAGGACCTAGAGATTCTCGTCATCCTGGAGGGTCAGGAACCTGAATAATAAATACTCACAATAATGTGTGATAGTGTAGTTTAATATAAGACTACAAGATAATATTAACATTATATATCATTTGTTATTTTATTTTATAATAATAATAATAAAAAGATATATAATATAATGTTATATATAACAATATTTTACAGATCGCAGAATTTTATATATAGTATATGTTACATATATTTATATATATAATTGTGTTTTATATATATATTATATGTTTGTGTTATATATCATATGTATTATATATCATATGATATTATATGCATTATATATTATTGTGTTATATATATTATGATATTATATATTATTATGTTATATAGCACTGGGAGAGGAAGTGAACCAGTGGTGTAGTGAGTATACTGTGATTTTTCCCGGCCGGCTGACGGAAATCCCTGACTTTTCCTAGTGGGTATACGGCGTATACCTCCTTATCATGTAGACTACACCACTGAAGTGAACCCTCCTGTGTCTCTCATCTCAGGCGTGGTGGAGACCACTGGCATTACCATGCAGGCCCGGACCTCCTACACCCCCGAGGAGATCCTGTGGGGGCGGCGCTTCGTCTCCATCATGACGGAGGAGGACGGGCGCTACTGTGTCGACTACTCCAAGTTCGGGAACACGGTTCCCGTCAAGATGTCGTCCCTCAGCGCCAAGGAGCTGGACCAAACCCGGGGGGTCCGGGAGGGGGGCCCCTCCGACCCCGTTAACCTGCAGGGCTGGGGGCTGGTCAGGGCTGGGAGGGGGGGCTTCCGCAGAGGAGGGGGGCGGGCCTGCGACGGCTCCTCCGCCCCTGAGCCTTGGTACACCCAATCGGAGCAGCCGCAGAGGGGGGCGGAACCGACCGGCCAGAAGAACAAGAAGGTGAGGCTGGAGGTGATCGGACGACGGATTGAAGACGGTGAACTGGGAGAGACCAGCGAATGAGGACCAGGGGTCCCTACTGGAGAATAGAGACAGAACCAGGAGGACATGGGAACAAACAATCAAAGCAACAAACATAAATCAAATTATCTACAAACTAAAACATCTGTCATCTTAAAGAAGTCAACCCCCCAAGATGGCCGCTATTCAAGATGCCCGACTGCTGTATCTTCATTGAACTATAATTCATGTTTCAAAGATGTGAAAGTTTATTTTGTTTCATTGTGTTCAAGCCCTTCCTTCAATCAGTGTTTGTGTTTTGATGTTTCATCTCATCTTTGATCACAAACTATAACTATTCACTTATACGTCATTATTACAGCTCTTAATATTAATTATTCTTAGATTAGATGTGAGGATAATAAAACCTCAGATTCAGCAAATCACATTGGAGACGTTCATTGTCCCCAAATGGATTTATTATTATTAGCATTGTTTACATCTTGCTGAGCTAGCATTTTATTTTATCACAGAATTACAAAATGGCACAATCATTTGTAATATAAAAGGAGGAATTTTCAGCTTCACACGGGTATTCTTTGTTTCTAATAAAACATGTTTACATCCTTTAACATAACACAGTATTGAGTACTAAATATGTTGAGCATTCTCTTTAACACCCCTCTCTGCTCTGATTGGCCGGTTTATTCTAATAAGCCTGCATCTGAATCAGATTGGCCTATTGAGTCACGTGTTACTTGATGGACTGAAACATTATTTAAGATGTTTTCAGAAGGTTAATGTAATGCAAATATAAAACAAAACAAATGCTTCTTGTGTTTTGTGGTATTTATTGTTAAAATTAAAAAAAGGTATAAAAAGAAAACGTCATTTTTTATTGACCTGACAAGCAAAAGAACACTCATTTTAGTTGGCGTTAACTCAAATCGAACTACTCAGTGGACTTCAAACCAAGGACCACCAGAGGCTCAGCAGGCTCAGACCCAGACCCAGGACCAGGACAGGCGGCGGCGCGGCGGCGTTGCAGAGGTTGCTGCTGCAGCAGCGGTACGTGAAGCCCGACACCGCCGGGAACATCTGGGAGAGGCGTGAGTTATCGCAGTCGGTGTAGCGGATACACTGGCGGATGGTCTTCCCACCTGGGGGAGGGGGGCACAGTGAGGACACTCAGTGGACTTCATGGATTCATGGTACCTGAACCCTGGACCCAGACATGAATCGGATCCTGAACCTGGAACTCAACCTGGACCCTGAATTTATGATGTGATAATCTGAATCTGAAATGGATCAACAATACATGCAAAGACAGATTACTACTACCTTTACTTCTGAGTACTTCTTCCCCCTCTGACGTCATACAAGAACTACACACAAGAACTTGAAGCCACTACGAAGAGCTTTATGTCGTCTCGGGCGCCCCCTGTGGACTACAGTGGTAGTTTCTCTACCACCAGGGTCCCTTTAGCACACCTCTCATTCTGTTGCATTCTGACTCCCGTCCTGGTTATTGTTCTGGTTCTAGTTCCAGTTCTCTGGGGCATCCCTTCCCTCCAGAACCAGCTCTTTAAGGTCAGAACTTCTGCTCACCTCTCTCACTCAGAGAGATGCAGGAGTCTTCATACGTGCACTCCTGGACGTTCTCACAGCGGCCTGTGTAGTCAGAACACTTAAAGCAGCGAAGTCCAGAACCTGAAGGAGGAGGATAAGGCAGACGAAGGAGATGGAGGAGGAAAAAGAGAAGAAGAAGAAGAAGAAGAAGAAGAAGAAGAAGAAGAAGAAGAAGAAGAAGAAGAAGAAGAAGAAGAAGAAGAAGAAGAAGAAGAAGAAGAAGAAGGTGGAGCAGGAGAAGAAGAAAGAGAAGAAGCACGAGAAGTAGGAAGAGGAGGAGAAGGAGGAGGAGGACCAGGAGAAGAAGTAGGAGAGGGAGCAGGAGAATGAGAAAAAGAAGGACGAGAGGGAGCAGGAAGAGAAGTAGGAAGAGGAGGAGAAGAAGTAGTACGAGCAGGAGAAAAAAGAGGAGAGGGAGCATAAGGAGGAGGTGGAGAAGAAGAAGGAGTGTGTGGTGACTTTGCAGAAGCAGAACCACATGAGCGTTTTGTCACTGGGCTTCTGTAGAAACATGGCTGCTGTGTCCATGACGACAAGCTGCTCGTTGGTGAAGATCAAAGCTTCACTAAAACACTTATAAATAATGTTAATAATGTTCCAAAGGATACTTTATTCTGATCTGATCTGAGATCATCATATTTATGTAGCAAGCGGTTACGTTTACATTCTACAGTTCAACACCAGATAAACTAATTTAATTCCTTTAGACAAATTTACATTTTTGATAATCAATAATCCTAATTTCAGAGGCTGAAAGTAACATTTACAGTAACAGTACAATTACTACAAAATTCTGAAGATTCGAAGAAGCATCAATAATTATATTACACCACATGATATATTTTATTCTGCATGATGAATACTTTTTGAGGATGAGGAGTATATTTCAATGCTGATATATCCGTAGCTTAATAAGAGGTCTACTCACCCTGGTGAAGAAGCCCACAGAGCAGGAGGAGGAACCCAAGGCGCTCCATGTCCACCCTGCACCACCAGGTCTGTTCTGGTTCTGGTCTGGTGTAATCCGGCTGGGAGGCGGACTGAGTGTCTCTTTGTCCAGACAACCACAAAGACTCGCTGTCCTCCTGCCCCTCCTCCTGCTCCTCCTCTTCCTCCTCAGTGATGCTTTATCAAAGAAACATTCACACGATTATTACATGGACATTCATTCATATTCATCTTGACACTGTGAAGTCAACCAACAAAAATATTTTGTATTATAGTGTTTCACGCTGCATAAAAACACAACATTTAAATGATGATAACAGATTATGTGTTTATGAGCCATATTAAATATAATTAATAATGTGTAAGAAAGTTGAACAGATCATGATCTCTAATATCTATTTTTATATTCATGTGAAGACATGGATTTATTCAAGTTCAACAAAACTAGTCTATGGTCGGTCCTTGATGAGTTGATGGCAGATCCTGGAACAGTATGTTGGAACACAATGTGGTTTAATATATATGAATGTGTATTCATGTGTATTAATGTGTACATATAAAGACTGAGCCGTCTCAATGTTTCCATCAGTAGCAGAAGGTCTCACAAGATCTAGTAAGAATGTGGAGACATCTAATCTAGTAATCTCCATGAATACTGAGACTAAAATTAAGAGGATTGGACGTCTCAGGAACTCATCACACTGTTTACATCCCCTCAAAGCATTCTGGGAACTGTTGTTACAAAAGTGGAGTGACGCCATGATCGAAAAGCGGCAGGTGCTATGTCTCAGAGGTGTATGTACCGATCTTAGAGGTGTATGTACCGATCTTAGAGTGGCATGTACCAATCTTAGAGGTGTATGTACCGATCTTAGAGGTGTATGTACCGATCTTAGAGTGGCACGCATGTACCAATCTTAGAGGTGTATGTACCGATCTTAGAGGTGTATGTACCGATCTTAGAGTGGCACGCATGTACCAATCTTAGAGGTGTATGTACCGATCTTAGAGGTGTATGTACCGATCTTAGAGTGGCACGCATGTACCAATCTTAGAGGTGTATGTACCGATCTTAGAGGTGTATGTACCGATCTTGGAGTGGTATGTACTGATCCCATGGTACTCGCGGCATGATCCCGCCTCCTCATGCATATGCATATCCCATGCAGATGAGTATCTTTTAGAACATGTGATGCCTTCAATGTTTTCTTTTCTAACTTTATGGACATGTTAGCAAAACACAGTGTCTTGAAAATAGCACAACACATACACACACAAAAAGGTTCAACACTACAATAAAGTTATGCAACTGCTTTTAGTTTCTGTTCTAACAACATTAATTCAATTCTTCAGATCAAAGTAAATTGCATATTTACATGTATGAAACAATATATTTATAAAACAACTAAAGTGTATTAACAACATGCATGTTTTAAACGTTGAGCTATTTAAAGCCTTAAACAAACCTCAGCGATATATAGAACATATTTCATCTGTCAAACCGACATGGCAGAGCACCTTTGTCTTTGTGGCACAATCACCTCATTCAAGAGAAAAAACGCCTCCAAAGCACTTAGAAGAAGATGAATACACACAGTGTGACGCAGTGATATAAAGTGATATAAAACCTCGCGCGACGGGACGGAGAGCTCCTCACAGCTTCAGCTCCACAAGGACTGATTGTTTCCCATGACCCCCGGCAACAAGCAGCTTCTTCTTCTGTGGTGCTGGGGAAAGGCTTAATCCTGGTAAGTTCAACCATGTCCAGCTCAACACATGGTCTCAACCACGTCAAGATCAACCACGTCAAGTTTAACCATGAGAAGTTTAACAACGTTTATACAATGTTCATCAGTAGAACAAAGACAGAAGAAGAAATCGAGTCCCTGGATTTACAACAGTTTGTTGTTGTTGTTGTCATGGTTTATTTTTCTGTCGCTTTGGCTATTTTGCATCTTGGGGTATTTTCTGTCTCTTTGTGGTGGTTTTGTGTCTCTTTGTCATCACTCACTTTTCGTAGCCGCCTCTGTAGTTGTTTTGCATGTCTGATGTCTCTTTGTGGTTGTATCAGATTTAGTTGTTTTGCATCCTGTAGTTGTTTTATATCTTTTCTGTTTTGTGTAGCTGAAGTTGTTATCCAGTCACTTTGTGTCTTCTTGTGCTTGTTTTGTGTTTCTTTTACGGCCTACGTTCCCAAACTTTTTAGCCCACACACCCCCTTCTACATCCTGATTTATTTATAGCTACAATAAAATTGGAGTAAAACCAATGAAAGAACAGTTTGCTCATTTGTGATATTGTTATCTAATATTTAGATGGCTGTTGAATCTTGCAGCGTCAACAAAAACCCGAACACAGGGGCAACATTGTGTCATATTAATCCCGAATCGGAACAAACAAACTACAGTTGGGAAAATGCCCTGAAACTGCAATGTTTGTTTCAATAAATTCCAGTTACATCACTTTTAAACAGCAATAAGGTTGGCTAGGGCACAGGCTCAGAGGCAGATTGCATCACATTTAATTTACAATTAACCATACATAGCGGTTACATTAATTAAAATTAAAAATGTAAAATTATAAATCACGTCAGGAGGTAGGGGAATTTGAAATTATTTAATTTCAAATTCTCAGGCTGCAGCGAGACAGGGGGGAGGAGGGGTAATGTTAGCGAGTAAGAGATGTGAGTATTAACTCTGTTTCTTTCTCTCGCCTCAGATTCCTCCCTCTCTCCGTCCGTCTCCTCTCTCAAAACAAAACAGTCGTCCCCCTAACAGTTTACCGACTTCAGGCATTTAGCATATTTGTATGAATGTTGCTGAATGAATGAAGTTAGCTGTGGGTTGACATTAGCTGCACAAAAAAGGCTAATGTTAGCTAGTGTGTACGTAAAAAGACGAGCTCAAGTGCATTTATTTATTAAATAGTTTTGAATTTATTGTTAAAAATGTAGGGTTTTTTATGATTCATGTTGCCATTTTGTGAAAACCCACTTTAAATTTGGGACACTGAGGGAATCCCTGGTCTAAAGGGCCCTTGACACCCTGGTAGGCCTCTTTTGTATTTCTACCATCCAGCTGATAGGGCAGTCTCATGGGCAGTGGTTGAAGTTGTTCCCGATATCATAAATGTTTGTCATTTGTACTACTGTCAGAAACTGGAAGATTCAAACACATCCAGGATTCTTATTTTCAGCGTGTTGTCCTTTAGTCTTTCCTCAATCTTAATCAACTTACAATTTAGAGACTTCTTTCAGTATTTGCAGTCAGAATATTACAATTGTTGATAACTACCAAAGATCAGCAGAACAACCGCAAAAGTACCTTCTGGGGTAGAAGTAGATTGGCATTAGTATATTAGCCTCTTGTCCCTTAGTTATTGGGGGTATAAATCAGTGTTGACGTCCACGCTGTGCAGGAAAGACTTCTGGTCCCCAGCTGACATTCTGGTTAGCACCTTAGCGGACAGAGAGTAACTGCTGCCAGACTTCTCCTCGAACCAGCTGTCCAGCGCTCGCTTCCTGTCAAAGTTGGCCACGGGCGGCCTGTTGACCGCCGCGGTCAGCAGGTCGTTCATCTGCTCCAGGGTTGGTCGCAAGCGATTGTTCCTGCTCATCTTTTGGAAAGAACCCTGGCTCTTATCTCAGGTTGTGGAGCTGGGCAGGGCCCTGACCACCTCTCCAATTCAGCAGAGAAAAGCGCTGCCTGTGCCTGCAGATGTGGCCGATGACCTCTTCAAAACCACTGCAGTAGTCCGCTTTCAGACCGTTCCATTGCAGCACCAGGCTGCCCCTACCCTTCCCTCCTGGCCTGGGAGCCCCCTTGAGCGCCGCAGGGAAGTCAAGGTGGTTAAATATCTCCTTGATCTCTTCCTCCCCGTAAGCTTGGAGCTCCTCCCTGGCTGTGGGGCCAGGTGGACAGGTCCAAGACCTTGCAGGCTTTGACGAAACCATGGCTCCCTGGGTCCGGTTGCAGATCTTCTCCCCGATGGACTGAAACTTTTCAGTTTATATTATATATATATATATATATATATATATATATAAAATGCTCCCGAACTGTTCTCAAGAATATAAATGAATGACCTGTTATTTCTTTTTATCATTACAGAAAGTTTCAACGGATATGTTAGCAAAAATAATATTAATGAATACATGTTCCGTGAATAATCCGATGGGAGGTCTTTCATATTAATGTTGAAGCCTGATTTAGTATCTATGAAACCAAAAGTTCACAGAAGGGACACGCTGCTTTTCACAATTTATTAACAAAATGATAAAATAAATAAATACAAATTGATCAAATGCTCCTAATATCAACTCCTCCCCCATGTTCCCTACAGTATTTCCTAAACACTGCATACAAATAATTCATCACAGAAGAGGCTCAATACAGAGGTAAGAATCCCACCAGACCAGTCACAATGTCAGGCCAAACAGAAGACACATCCGGAACACAAGTCAAAAAAATAAACACATTCCTTTCCAAAATCATTATGAAAAATACAAACAATTATACAAATATTTAGATTGTGTAATTACCAACTTACACATTTTTCAGCACACCAGGTGAACTTTTTCTTTATTCATATCGCTACAATGCATCTTACCGAATGAAATTAAAAAACCACTTCTTGTATTTTTTTAATAATTCTTATTTCATGTTTTTTTTCTGCCCCCCCCCCCCCCCAAATAGAATGAGCCGTGGATGAGGTAAAGAAGCTTCGGGTGAAAATCTGGATGCAGAGAGGATGGATGACGTCATGTCTCGACAGAACACTAAAAGGCCACAATCACAAACACGACCGTCTATTTCATCTTCACGTGCACGAGACCCCCCCCCCCCAGACACACCAACCCTCCCAGACATATCAACCGTCCCAGACGTGGAACTCCACCTGCTAACCTCACACAAAGGCCTCCCCAGAACTCGGTGTTCTTCGGATCACTTTGCACTTCGATTTTAGACTTTTCTGCCCCATAACATCTGGTTTGGAGCGTTGGTTCAGATTTAAAACCTTACAAATGTCAGGAAAAAAAAAAGTTTTCAAACCGTCAAGATGTTCTAAGAAAGTAAAAAAAAAGGTGACTTAAGTCTAAAGAACAAAATTAAAAGTATATGTAAAAAGTAAAGTGTATTATAAAAGTTTTGCATAAGAAGGCATGCCATCCAGCGTACTGCTCAAGGGTCCAAGTCGGTCTGGTTGTCCACGCGAGCGGGTTTACCAAGTTTAGAAGATGAAGAAGAAGCACGGCACAGAGGGAGTCAACGATTCCGGACCAACACTCTGATATTAATAATAATCATAACAATAATACTGGTCAAACCAAAAGTGCATCACCAAACATCTGTCACCGAGCAGAGATCTCCTCCTCCTCCCCGGACCATCTCATGGACTACCACAGCCTTTGACCTCTGCAGGGATTCTTTTTTTATCTTTTCAAAACATCAAAAGTAAAATCAAGAATAAAAAAAAGAAATAAAAACATTTAAGGCTCAAACTCCTAAAATTGATGCTGACAAACGCGATGTGGTTGTTCTGAGATGGTGCAAGACGAAATGTAGTTTCTACTTGCACGGACTGTGGGCAGCCTGAGGTGAGGGGGCGCTGTGTCAGGGGTCTTTGTGAGTGGGACAGACCAGAGCCGGGGTGGGTATTCTGGAGGGTTAGTAAGGTTTCTCCAAGTCACAGTGCAAGTCAAGAGACAAAATATTATCTGCTGTTTGAAGAAAGGCACTCAAGGTACCTACTGTACAGAGAAGTAGGGGGGAGGGGGGGGGGCGTGTTCTGGTTCTGGACTGTCGGGTCCAGAACATCTATTGGATAAACAAACGTGTGGCGACGTCCTGCTGAATGAAGGCAGTTTGTACAGCTGATCTCAGATATGAAGAGTCCATGACGATACGAAGAAAAGAGACGGAGATGAATTCAAGGTCACCGACCACGCAGTCGCCCCCCCTCACTGATGGTCCATGAGTCTACAGCCATGCTAACAGCTTAGCTGCATGCTAACAGCAGAATGCTAACCCACGCGCCTATGAAATGCCAAGAAGAATTTGATAAGGGTCGTCGTGGCGCAAGGGTAGAGCGGGTGCGCTCGGATACTCAAGGTTGGTGGTTCGAGTCCTGCTGCCCCATGTCTCAAATTGAAGTGTCCCTGAGCAAGACAACTCCTAATTGCTCTCTGGGCAAAAATGTAAAAAGCCATGAGTTAAAAATGTAATGTAGGTCGCTTTGGATAAAAATCAGCTAAATGACCTGTAATGATATCTTTAGTAAGTTACACTATAATCTATCTGATTGTTGTTTGAGATATTTCAGCTGCATAGCAAGGCTCGGGGGGGTACTGTATGGCGACTTCAACATAAAGGAAATACAGAACAACAAGATTTTAAAGACCAGAGGTCTCGATCAGCCCACCAGAACAAAGACGGCAACAACAGCCCCCAGGTCCGGGTATCCTCCTACAAAAATATTGGCGATGTGGTGATAAGTCACATCACAACACAGAAGATGCATACTCTTTTTGATTCCATATCAACGTACAAAAGAAGCTCGGCGGCGGTGATCTTGTGCTTTCATGTCGGGATGTTTGTGGTGAAGACAGAAGAGGAAGAGCTCCCCTCGAGTTTATATATATGAACAACAGAAGTAAAACTCCAGGAGGGTCAACGGATCATCTGGCGTTTGTGATAAATATATAGATATATAGATATATATGTAACGCCAGATGATCAGATCTCCTTCAATGGTGTGAAACAGAAAAACAGATGCGGATATATTTGGAGTTTTTTTGGCAGTTTGGGATTCAACATTAAAAATGTTCATGATGCAAAAGCCCACCAGTTAAAAAAAAGGAATTCCTTTGTGTGTTTTTAATAATGCCAGTCAGCAGGTTCAGGAACAGAAAGCACTTATTCTGAAGACTAGGAAGACCTGAATATCTTTTCCTATGAATGAAGAAACACAGACCAGTTATGGTGTGTGTGTTTTGTTGACATTGCAATATTGCAAATCTTTCACATTTAGTGCTCACAATCGACACACAAATGAAAAAACCCTCAATCACTACACTTAATTGGTTCTTGGCGTACTGGGGATTGTACGTTTGGGTTTTAACCTCAAGGTCGAATGAAGTTTCTTCTGTACTCGTAGATTTATTTGAAAGTTAGGAACGTTGTTTCAATAAAAAGACTTCAAACCAAACTCAACAGCTTGAGTTGTGTGTTTGCTTGAGGTCATTGACCCGCTTTAAATCCTCAGCAGACGGGAGAATATCGGTTTGGATTTGGTGGACAGGATGTCGTTTTGACCAGCTCACCGCCCCCCGCTCTCATTCATCACTTTTGTTTTCTTTGTTGAGTACACCAAACTCGTATCCAATCTTTTTAACCTCAAACAAACAAGACTTAAACTATAGACATAGTTAAACAGCCCTTCGGATGCAAAGGAGGGTGGAGTGGGGGGGCAAGGTCAGATTGTTGGTTAATAGGGAAGTTCTACGCTCATCGGCCCATTGGGTTGGATCCGAATCTCCGAATCTTACCGATTAGAGGCTGCTATCGGCGATATGCTTTGTGACGAACATATAACAGCCCCCCCCCACAGCTCTTTTTGTTTGGTGTGCGCTGACAAGAGCAACACCACCAAAGTGCTTAATTCTCATTTTAATTTAATTAACTGTATCCCCCTCCGTTAATAAAAATATTTGTTTGAAGTGTACTGAACCTGTTCGGGGTGAAGGAGGTGGGTCTCTGTTGATGAAGGTTTCAGGTCTTTGTGGACACTGAACAAGGTTGAAGGTGTTGGTTAATGGGAAAGTTTGAAAAGTGTTATACATCAGACTTCTTGGTTTGGGGCGAGGGAGTTGGGGGGGTTCATCGGAGCAAGGGGACAGACAGGCTCTCTTTTCAGCACTCACACTATCACAACACTGCTTATTAGACCAGCAACCCCTGACAGATGTTTGGTTCAATGTTCTCCGATCCCATGTGCCCCCCCCACAAGAGAACACAGGGCCCACTGTAACAGGCACACACTGGTGTGATGATCTCCCTTTGAGCATTCCCGCCACAGACGTCTATCACTAATTGGCATGATGGCCCTGGTGCGAAAGCCTTCCTGTACCCCAGCTCTGTGTGGCGGGTTGAGGGGTGGGGGGGGGGGCATCCTACGTCCCCGTGACCTGGGCTGTATATCTACCATTGACACAGTCTGACAATACAATGCAAACAAACAACATTTATAAGATTGGCAACTTTAGGACACCGTAGGGTGTCTTTTTTAGATGTGTGTCTGAATCCCGCAGCGGTGGGACAAGATCACTTTTTGTCGTCCAAATTGCTGACAAGAGCTGGCAAAGAATTCTGGGAGGGTTCTGAGGTTTTGCTGTTGTTGTTGCTGCCGTCAGCGTCGGTGACCTCCTCCTGCTTCTTCTCCACCGCCGTCTCCAGAGGGTTGGCGGCAGCCATCTTGTTCTCAGAGTTGGTGGCGTTGGCATGGGGAGCGGCGGCTGGGCAGGCGGCGGCAGGGCTGACGTTGGGGCGGGCCGGCACAACAGTCCCGTTGGTGGTGGCCGGGGTAGCAACCTCTGAGGGAACGAGAATGTCAACCACTGGCGCCGCCTTGACCTCCGCTCCAGCCGCAACCTCCACCTGGACGGTAGTTTCTGCAGCCCCGTTACCGGGTTTTGCCTTTGCCTCCGCCCCTTTGTCGAGGCTCTTATCTACCGGTGGGGCTACGCCGTCTTTCTGGACCGCCTGGCTGTCGGTGTCCCGTGCGTCTGCGGCCATTCTGGGGTCCTTGTCCTCCGGTGCGTTGACCCCGTCAGCGTCCCCGCCAGTCGGTGGACTACCAGCCTTTGCCTTCTCTGCGCAGTCAGCCCCCAGCGCGGCTTCACAGCCGAAAGCCGGACCCTCAGAAGCGTCCCGGCCTCTGGCGTCGACCTCCTTGACCGTCTCTGACAAAGCTCGGTTGAATTTGAAGGTTTGGATGAGGCGGATCAGGTGCTTGACCTTCTCCAGGGAGAGATGCATGTCCTTCTGACGAGCCAGGATGCTGTTTTTGGTCTCCATGCATTTCTGATGAAAGATGACAACAGAGTCAGACGAGTGGCTAACGGACCACTCTAGGACCGATAGCCTAGCAGCTAGCAACATGCACTCTGTACATCTACCCTGCAGAGGACCACCAATGTGTCCCTAAAGGACAGTGGTCTGCAAAAACGTCCTGCCTAAATGTGGGGACATTATTGGCACCTCAAACACGTCAAATGATGGAGAGTTGAAAGCAAAGTGCACAAGAACAGCAGGAAGAGTCGCTAGTTCAACATGTTCCACCTCCAAGATGATCACATGTGTGCAGTTTGTGTTTAAAATACAATTAAACAACAGTGTTAAAATACACACTTTCTTACCGTTATAGAGTTGCTGAGCTGTTTGACTCTCTGTTCCAGCTGCTCTCGCTCTAGCTTCAGTTCAGCGCTCCATTTCATCAGCTTCTGTTTCTCCTCCTCTTTAGCTGCAGCAGAGACAGAAAACTGAAGGTTAATTTCCCCGCTGAGCGGCTCGGGACCGGACGTTCCCGGGAGATTGAACCTGATGTCACCTTCTTTGTAGGCGATGTAGGAATGAACAATAGCCAGAGTGCCGGGCCACGGAATGGCTTCTTCTTTCTTCAGGATCTACAAAGAGAAGCTCAGAGTTGTCAAAGAGGCAGAGACCTGAGATTTGAGGGCGTCAAGGTGAGCGCCACCATGTGGTGGGATCGAGAAGGGGGACAAGGAATGGAGTGGATGGGTGTGAGATGCCAATCCTTGCTGACAATGAATGAGACAGATGCACGAAAAAACAATACTGCATCATGTGTATGCTTACAAAGGCTTGAACGGTCCTAAAGTCTAGGACAGAGTGGCAGAAGGCCGGCCAGCATATTTCTACAGTCAACCATCTACCGGCTCTGATTGGCCCTTCTCCGCACTGCGGTACCCCCTTCCCCAGGATTAGTCACGGCTGCTGTGGTTACCTGATCTTGACATTTTGGACAGATCCACATGCCTTTAGGAATGGTTTTCAGGGGCGGATCCAGGCAGTCCAGGTGATAAACACGAGAACACGTGTCGCACATGAGCAACTGGCCACTGCGTCTGCACACAGTGCAGAAATCCTCATGGATGTCTCCCTGTGAGGAAGAATTGGACCAATCAGTTTCCAGCCACCCAACCGAGCCTCGTGGAGAGGCAGGGGGAGGCACCGTGATCTGGTTGGGCTGAGTTTACAGTTGGCCTGGTTTGTAATACCTAATGGACATGGTGTGTGAGGTTACTGGACCCACAGGAAGAGTTACTTGATATCTTTGAGTTAGAATGTGTAGGTAGTAGTTCTTAATAGATGCTCTGGGCTACAGGACACTGTTCACTTTGTAAGGCTGAAAGTAAAAAATCAAATGATGACTGATGGTTACCACATGAAGACAACAGACTAATGAAGTGTTGGTGGAGGTCTCGGGAGGGATTGGGGGGGGGGAGGGATTGGGGGCGAGCAACAGAGCTACCGGCCCAATAAGGACTGTGTGTGACGGGGTGTTCTGCCCGTCTCCCCCATCGTTACTTACATCCCCAGAGCTGGGGCTGGGCAGGGGGAGGGGACGGACGGGGCTGGAGGGGGAGGTCGGGGTGAGGCAGCCCAGCTCCGGGACGCTGCTGTATTTGGGTGGGCGACCTGGGTGAAATGAGACAGACAACAAAGACGGAAAACAAAGAAAAAAAGAAAGATGGAGAGGGGGGAAGAAAACAAAAACAAACAGTCTGTATGACATACCTTGGAAAGGGAGTCTTCATTGGCTAGCGTGAGACGGGGGAGGAGGGGGGGGGGGCGGTAAAGGGAGAAGGAGGAGTCAGAAGCACAGACAGCAGTGTTAGTGCATGAGACTGGCTCCATGCAAGCTGAGGCCAGAGCACAAGTACAACCTAGACGCCTATGGAGCTTTGTGTCAGATGTTAGCGCTCCTCAGTCACATGACCAGCTCCACAGGTTCTGATAAGCTGTCACCAGAGCGGACCAGCTAGTCCATCACTAGACATGACTTGTTATCTAGCTAGTCCATCACTTGACTGGTTGGTTAACTAGCTAGCTAGTTAGTCCATCAATAGACATGAAACAGGGAGAAAAATGGAAGTAGACGATTCTTAATTCAAGTTTAGTATTTTTAGTTGTGAAGCAATAAAAGCTGATTTCTGTTAGTGGCGTTACTCCCGGGTCACTCAGTTTATATGTGTGAACAATCGAACGATTTTAAAAACATCACTCAAGTAAAATACTAGTCTGATGCCTTCATTCATATCGACAGCAGCTATTGATCAATAGACGAGTGAGGTTTGACCAATTCATTCTTATGGTATTATGGTTTGTAAAAATATATAAAATCGTAAGGGTGAATCTGCTGCTGCAGGTTTTAGGGTCACCAAGATCAAACCTCACATCTCTTAGTCTGCGTTCACATTTGTAAGGTTGGTGAGAAACAAGCAGAATCCCGGCTGAGTGAGGAGACAGGAAGCAGGAAGATGAGGGAGGACGTGTTAGTAGGACGCACCGGGAGAGTCTCTACTGGCCAGTGTGTCATACGGACCTCTCTTCCTTGTCCCCTGGTGCAGAGGGCTGTTCAGGTAGCTCACTGCACTCTTCTTCCTCTGAAACACCAACAAACACGATGAGTCAGGAGAAGAGACACAGCAGCTGGAAGAGCACACCCGTTACACATCTGTAGCACACTTAAACATGACGTATTAAAGAACGGAAAGCTTTTGCTGCTGATTTTAAAAAAATAAAGATAAATCCCCTTGAGCTAATGAGCACAAGTATTTTCTGTGGTTGTGAATATGTATAAACCATGGAAGGAAGCCAGCTAGCAGTGAAAATAAAGATATATTTCAATAAATATGAAATATGTAAAAGAAAATAACTACATTTCCAAGATGAAAAAACAAATATATATCCTTTCATAAGGAGGTTGAGACGAGGAGCCCTGAGGGAAGAAGCCTGAAGGATAACAGAGGCGAGGAGCACTCCCTGTACCTCGGGCTCGAACACTGCGCCGCTGTACACCGGGTTGGCCGTCGTTCTCCTCTTGCGCTCCTGTCTTTTGCTTTGAATCTCTGCAGAAACGAAACACACATCAGAATGAAGAGACAGTGGACCTAAAAGAAGAGGAGGAGGAGGAGGCGGCTGTGAGGGCTCACCTTCCAAGTGGTCGTGTGTCACAAGGCCCAGAGACACCATGAAGGCCAGTTTCTACAGGAGACAAACAGAGTCTAAGAGCCTAAAGCGCCTCTGTAGAACCAACATCTTTTATTTTATACACAAGTCAAGCTAACGTTAGCATCCTCTTGCTAATTATTCCATAGACAGTTTTTGGCGAGCTAAGCTCCAAGGCTAAAAACGGTTTGAAGATGGATGGATGGATAAAGTAACTGAGAAAAAGGAAGAGGACGTCATTATAAACTCATATCCCATATTCATAAACTACTTCATCACCTTTAAATAAACCCTCTAAAAGGAATAAGTCAAGTATTAATGTGTTGTAAAGAAACAAAGGTTGAACTTCCATCTTTAACACTTCCTATTTCTTAAAACCTGATCCTTTATTGTTTATCAGTGAATATTTGTCACCAAGTTGCCACGGCGACTAGCAGCTGAGCTCCAGCCATCAGAACAGACCTCTGGGTTCTCCTCCTTCTTGGTTCTGGGAGGAGGCAGAGACAGCGGGGGAGAGGAAGAGGAGGAGGAGGAGATGCTGACGACGACCTTCTGCTCTGCTCCTCCTGCTGCTTTAACAGTCTGTTAAGAGGACAGGGTGAGATTCAGTCATCTATCTAACATTCCATCCTCTCTGCTCTGCACACGCAATGTGTTCAGGGTTTGTGGGACAGGTGAACTCCATAGGGGAGGGGGAGGGGGGTCTCCTACCTTGGGCTCGGCGATCAGACTGCTTATCTGAATGGGCTTGGCGGGGGTCGGGGTGAGGATGGGCGTGAGGCCCAGCACCTGGGCGGGGCTGGCGAGGCGGGCGGGGCTAGCAGTCACCGGCGTTGTGATGACGATGCCCGTCAGCGGGGCGGCGCCGGCCTTGCCGCATGGCTGCCCGTTGACGATGCGGACCTGGTGGATGGGGGGCGCCGAGGGCAGCGAGGACGACAGCTTGGTGGCCAACATGACGGGCCTCTGGAGCAGTTGGGGGGCTGCCATCATGGGGGGCGGAGGGGCCGGGGCGATGTGCACATTCGTGGGTGTGGCTGGCTTCGGCCTGACCTGTGGACAATGGACAGCCAATCGGAGAGCAGCACCAGAGAGAGGGAAGAGCTGGGTAAGGCCACTGTGGAGCTCTGCTGTACTGGTACTACAACGTGTTCTACTACTACTAGTACTACTACCACTGGGGATTGTAGTACTACTACTATTACGACTACCACTATGAATTCTAATACTACGACTAATACTAGCACCATGGATTTCACTACTACCACTGACGTTTTTCAGGTGGGTTACTGAAACGATGACATCCATCTCTGGTTATTAAACATTAACCGTGGAACCGGGTCACGAAAGGTAAAATAAAGCTTCCGCAGCTTTTATTGTGGTGACTTTGGTGCTGCCACACGTAGATATTTACATCCAAGTGAGTCTCTCGCGACAGATTTCCATTAACATAATTTTGACTTGAATATAAGCGTATTAGAATACTACAGGTGCTCTCAGTGACATCACTCAACACAGGTAAACATCACGCGTCCATTTAAAAGGGTTAAAACACACACAGCCAGGAACACAAAATACCAAGAAGCTGCAGGACGGAGACACACACACACACCGTTGTTAAATAAATAAAGAAGCACAACGAGAGGACAAGAGATGAGTAGAGGCAGCACAGAGCAAACAATGTTTCATCGAGCAAGGCATGAGTGTCTGCTTTGCTCCCCCCCGCTGGAGGGGGAGCGGGTCATCTCAGGGTAGGCCACACACACCGGTCTGAGGGGGTTAGGGGCGGAGGCGGGGCGTATGGGGACGCACCTGTGGCTGAAAGGTGGGTCGAGGCATCAGTCTAGGAGGAGGGACAAACTGAGGAACTTTGATTGGCTGGGTGGTGGTGTTGGTGGTGGAGGTGATGGTGGTGGCCTGCACCTGAGACAAAACCACAGCAGATGTGGATCTGTGGTCCCGTTACACCCGCACACCTGTTGTTTTTACACCAACACGTGGGTGGTTGCTACACAGAGACTTCTGCTGTTGTTATTGAGGATTTTTTTTTTTTTTTTCTAATGGGACTTGAAACTTTGCTACTCGAGATGTTGTGATCACACAACTCCTGTCCTGTAGCCCAGAGCATCCTTTCCTCCTTTCAACCTCTACTGTTCCTCTTCTAACGGACATGAACTTGTGACCGTGTGAGATAAACATGACCCACAGCCTCCCGCAGCATGAACCATGTGATCAAAGAGCCAGCACCTTTCCACTGCCAGTCAGAACGGTCAAACTCTCCTACAGGTGACAGCACGTGATCTACAGTAACTCAGATTCCAGGAGGGGATACATGACAGGAAGGGGAGCGTCTTACCACCATTGCGTTCTTTGACACCAGTCGCACCGGCTCTGAGCTCTGATTGGTCAGCTTGCTGACCACCTGTAGGTTGATAGGAGCGTTCTGCAGGTCAGGTTTGGGAATAGCCGTGGTTACCATGGCGACAGCGGGCGGGCGATGAGGCAGGACGGAGCCGGGCGGGGCGGCAGCAGCTTTCAGCACCAGAGGTATAGTCTTTGCGGTAAGGACCGGCGTGACCGCCAGGGTCTGTAGACAGATACGCATCTTCATCACAGGGACTCTGAGCCTCGGGTAATGCCAGCTATTTCCTACATTACCCAGCATGCCATCTTGCATGCTAATATACAGTCATCTGATTATCAATAATCCGTGTTTATGACATTTTCAACTTTTACTGGATACTAAAATTGCAGTGTTTTGAAATCCAGCCAAACTCTTTTCATCTTACTTTCAGAAAATTAATCTGATTGTACCATTAAAACTTGTTGTTTTTAGTTTCTTTATAAATGTATGCATGTGTATATTGTGTGTGTGCGTCCTACCTGCTGCAGTCCTCCAGGTATCTGCTGGCTCTGCAGCAGGTTGCCCGGCTTCATGTCACCCCCTGCTGGAGGAGTTTGGACGTGCAGCTGCAGCTTCGCATCTGGCTCCTGTTTCACCAACAACTCCTTCCTCAGCTGCTCCACCACCTTCTTCTGCAGGAGGAGAGGAGAGAGGAAATAGGATAGTTGTGGATGGGAGGAGAGGAGGAGGGGAGAGAGGAAACAGGAGGTTAAAAGAGTAAAGCCTGTCACCAACCCTCCACTAAGAGAATTGGTGAGGTAACTGGTCTCCATCAGAAGGAGAGTTGGTGAGGTCACCGGTTTCCATTTGGAGAGTTGCTGTTCAAGCCCTCTATCTTGTGAGGGAACTAAGGAATATCCCAGCATGATAATTCTAACGTGGCATATTCACTCAAGCATCACAGTCAGACCTTCTAATAAAATAAACATACACAAAAGGTTTAATGAAAGGTGATGATCGCTCAAATCCAATTGGCTGTTGCTGCACAACACAACTTTATCCAATATAAAAATATATAAAAACCATTAAGTGGTCTTATCTGTAGTAGTATCAGGTTGATATCTACAATAATATTTAATCGTTCAAATTTTAATACAGCTATAAATGTGTTATTTTAAACACACACAGCCCGTCTGTTGCTAAGCAACACACAACTCCTGATCGAGAAGGAGAACTTCATCTACTGCTGAAAGACATTTACTGTCCCAACCAATCACACAGGGGAACACCCACTTCCTGTTTGACCTCCAGAGAGCTTAAAGGAGGTTTCAGAACAACATTTACTTGATCCATATTCTGTAAAGAGATTCTACTGAGGCGTTTTAATGGAGAATGATGACTATCCTGTTCTATACACAGACGGTCTAGGTCCACCACAAGATGGTCTAGTCCTAACTCTAGAAGGTCTAGTTCAGTAGTAGGTCTGGTTCCACCCGTCTTGTAGAAGAAACGTGTTTAACAGGACAATATGACAGCAAAGTAAATAGGGAGGAAGGAGATAAAAATAGAGCTCACTAATAATAATAATAACGAATAAAGATGTAAAGCTAAGGTAAACACCGTAAACATCTATTTATTTATTTATACAGTGAGGAGAGTATTTGATAACCTGCAAAATCGGCAGTGTTTCCCCACTTACAAAGCATGTGGGAGTCTGTAATTTTTATCATAGGTACTCTTCAACTGTGACGGAATCTAAAACAAATCCAGAAAATCACATCATATGAGGTCGCTGGTCAACAGCCCCGAAACCTAAAGGATCTGGAGAAGGTCTGTATGGAGGAGTGTGCCAAAATCCCTGCTGCACTGTGTGCAAACCTGGTCATGAACTACAGGAAACATCTGTAATTTCAAACAAAGGTTTCTGTATAAAATATTAAGTTTGGCTTTTCTGATGTATCAAATACTTATGTCATGTAATAAACTGCTAAATATTTTTTTTAAATCATACATTGTGATTTTCTGGATTTGCTCTAGATTCCGATTTACTATTAACCATACATAGCGCTAAATTATTCAAAATTAAGAATGTAAAGTTACACATCATGACTGATTATCAGAGCTGTCCCTCTCCTCTCTCACGACTGATGTTCACCTGACAGTTTCCCGATTCAGCCAATGTTTTATAAATGTTGCTGAAAAGTTGTTGTTGTTGTTGCTGGCGTTAGCTGCACAAACTAGGCTCACGTTAGCTAGTGTGTACGTAAAAGGAGGAGCTGAAGTGTATTTATTTATTAAATTGTTTAATTCAATTGTCAATTGTTTCATTTTAAAAATTGCAATCTTGCAAAGGGTGGTTTTCTAATTCATGTCTCTATTTTGTGTAAAAGCCCGATTGATTTTTTACAAGTTATATTTAAAATTAATTATTACTCCATTAGACCACCCTGGCATGTTTCCTCTCTCACCACAGGAATCCCTGCATTAGAAGACTAATTCTAAAACCCTTGACAAACTTGTGCAATTATGTTACCACAGCTGAAAACAGTTATGCTGGTAAGAGAAGCTATAAAACTGGCCTTCCTTTGAGCTAGTTGAGTATCTCGAGCATCACATTTGTGGGTTCGAGTATACTCTCAAAATGGCCAGAAAAAGAGAACTTTCATGTAATACTCGCCAGTCTATTCTTTTATTTTAGAAATAAAGGCTATTCCATGCGAGAAATTGCAAAGAAACTGAAAATTATTAGTAGTAAACTTTTCTGTTATAGGGTTAGGGAAGTGCCCATCAAGCCAATCCAACTTGTGGGAGATGCTTCCGGAAGCATTTGTGAAATTTCTAAAGATTACCTCAACAAATGAACAGCGAGAATGACAAAAGTCTGCAATGCTGTAATTGCAAACGGAGCATTCTTTGACGAAAGCAAAGTTTGAAGAACAGAATTAATGTTTCAAATAAAAATCATTCTAATCATGTCAATTTCTTGACTATATTTTCTATTCATTTTGCAACTAATTTGATAAATAAAAGTATGAGTTTTCAAGGAAAACACAAAATTGTCTGCATGAACGGTAGTGTATATGTATACTAAGTATACTTTAAATTTACAATGTATGTTGTCGTACCTTTAAAATTGAAAGTATGTTGTTCTAGGATGAAGTTTGGGACAGCCATAAACTCCACATGCTGCTTCTGTGATCGTCGTGAGTCCGTCACCGTCTCCTTACTGACGGACGCAGCAACGAGTAAAGGACGATCGCTAATTGGCACTACCGCGTTTTCCATTAGCCCGAGGCTTAGGTCGGCCGAGCATGCGTGGTGACAAAGTTTCATATTTTATGAGTAAGTTAGTGACTAACATCTGATTTCATGAGTTCAGCTCTCTGCTCCACATATCTGCAAAGTCCCTCAGCTCTTTCAAACATTTCCTTCCTGTAATCTTATTGGCTGCCTCTGCAGACCCTGAACCGAATCACAGACTGCACTGGCCTCATGGTCAGATTATAACCTACCAGGTCTGAGAATGTATGAATACATTCAACGTACCTGCTTCTCACTGAGGGCCGTGATCTTGGCTTGAAGCTCGTGGAGCTGCTTCTTCAGATCTGCGTTCTGAAAACAGGAAACAGTTAGCCCCCCACCCCTATAAAATAAAACAAACTGCATCATGTGGTGCGTTCATTAGCGGGTACTGAACGTCGCTACATCTGAGACAAAAACAAACACCCGAGTCCCAGTTTACCTGAGGGTCCTGCTTCATCTGGGCAACCAGTTTCTGCAGAAGAAAAGCAGAGAGTCAGAAACCACAGGACCACCTGCTGGTCAGAGCCAGATACAACAGCAGCTCAAGCATACTGATGGTATGAGAGAAATATCACGTCGTCATATTGTGAATTCCATGGTTTCACCGTAACGTTGGGTTAAACAGGGGCTTGAACACTGAGGCTTGTGTTTGATAATCTTGGAATATTAAATATAAAATCTATACAGAAACACAAAGGATTAAAGAGGTTTGTTCAAACTTTTATTTTCATTTTGTTATTGAAAATGATTTGACAAAAGCAAATAACTAGATTATTTAAAAATGACCTCATTTAGAGACAAGTCAGCTGGATTAGTTCACCACTATCCCGGAATAAAGAGCAGCTCTCTTCCTCATTGATGAAGGAGAGAGAGGTTTATAGAGAGAGAGTTCTCCTAGATCACAAAGATCCCTTATAACGTCACTTCCTGTACGAGCACAATTGATTTTGAAGACAAGGAATCATTTATTTATTTTTATTTACTTGAGCCGTACATGATGAACACCACACCCAGCAGAGCGTTTCACAAAATGTCCCACAGAACATCATAAAGTTCATCATCATCATTCATTTCATCCAACAGATTATTCAAATGCACATATTATGGTCTTGAACATATTCATCATCATCGTCTTCTTTTGATTATTTGCCATTGTGCTGTCAAGAGAATCATGGTTTTGGTGTTCGACTTTTCCCCCTTTGGAAGTAGGACATGCACGCACAATTATCCTGATGACTGAAGTCTGGTTCAAACTAACAAGCCTGTTTAATCGGCCTTTGAGGAACATAGATAGCCCGACTTCAATCATCAGGTTAATTTAAGCTGGCTAACGGGACATTTGAGCGACTTAGTTGGACCACGTACGATAGACGGGTCCCTGGACTCACCTGGTGGATCTGGATCTCCACCTTCAGGGCCTCCTGTAACATCTGGAGCTCCATCATGGATCCAGTCAGTCTGCCAGCCGATCGATCAGCCTGCTGTCACACACACACACACACACACAAGCAGTGTCAGGGCCTCATATTATTACTCCTGTAATGAGGTATCAATACGTTATAAGTATAAATAACTGTTGTTTATTAATAAGAGTACTTCTACCTTAACACCGTCTCCAGGAGGAAACGCATCCACCTGAAGCATTAAAGTGCCGCTGGAAACAAACATTTCAACTTTAAAAAACAAAGCTTGGTTATTATGAAACAACACATTCATGCTATGATGGTAACTCTTCGTATTAGTGCATATAATAAACTCTTTTATAGAAGAAACTAAACATTCGGGAAATTATGTTCCTGCATTCGTACTAAACCATTTCCCATGTTTAAAAACCCATGAAATATACATCATTCTTAATGAGACATGAATTATTATATATACACATATCATGTTTGTCCTAATAAAGTGAATATATTTCCAAAGAACGTCAGCTGTGTACAATATTTAGACTTCTGATAGAATATTAAAGTTTTTATTGCCAACAATTGCATATTAGATCATTTTAATATTGGAAATCAAGTTGAACTTTGTGTACTTTCTGTACTAATACATAGATAACTATTAAATTACTGGTTCTTAGATCATGTTATTCCATATAAATCAAATAGAATAAATACAACATGAAAAATAAGCATGTGTGATAATTATTTTTCAGTTTTCTTATAACTTTATTATTATCTTAATGAGAGACTCACCGCCTGGCTGTGGGACTGGACTCCACCCACCCGTGCTGCCCTGTTAATCACAACAAACGCACCGCGTTAACAGCCTGTGATCAATAAGAAATATGGAACTCAGATTCATCGGTTTCTGTATTAACAAACTGTTATAATGTGGGATTATATTTCAGATCTCTCTTTATATTTTTATATGTGATTATTTATATGTCATTATATTTCAGGGATATTAATTTGTGTGATTCTAGAATAGGAATATTTATTTTCTATATTTTTACCGGTGTCCAAGAACCTTGGAGTTGTGTTTGACCAGGATGTGTCCTTTAAGTCCACACACACAACTTGTGACTAAAAGCAGTACTTTTATGCATAGGTATTTCTCATTTTACTTTAATTTGTAACAGTTGCACTTTTACTCATAAAATGTATTTCTTTACTAAAGTTAAAAGTACTAAACAGTACATTAATTACTCTTCAAGGAACCTTATTTTTTAATGATTTATACCTTTATATCAAACTTCTATGACATAACACACATAATTCACCTGGTCAGACATCATTCACCCGTTCACACCCTGATGACAGCAGCTACCACACACCTGCCCATCAGTGACTAACATTCATCCATTCACAGCCTGCTACAGGAGCCATGTTGGTTCAGTGTCTTTCCCAAGGACACATGGACACGCGGGTTAGCCGGGCCTGGGATCAAACCGGCGATCGTATGATTGGAGGACGCCTGTGCTCCCACTCACACAGTTGCCAGAGTAAGCAGTAAAAGTACAAAAGACCAACAGTATCAGTACTAAAACTATCAGCATAAGTATTATGAGCAACATGAAGTTTAAGCTCACAAGTATGTAAGCTCCTTGTAGTACAAATAGCTGCACTTAGAGCACGTAGTGAAAGTACTAAGTATAACCATTTTTGTGTAGTTATGTACTTTTACTAGAACAGATACTATAAGTAGTACCCTCTTTGGGTAGTTACACTTTTTGTAGTAGTAAAGGTTCATAAGTAGTATCACCTTTGTGTAATTATATTATCTGTAGTAGTAAAAGTGCATAAGTAGTATTATCTTTGGGTAGTAACACTTTGTGTAGTAGTAAAAGTGCATAACTAGTATCATATTTGTGTAGTTATAGTATCTGTAGTAGTAAAAGTACATACGTAGCATTCTCTTTGGGTAGTTATACTTTTTGTAGTAGTAAAATTACATAAGTAGTATCCTCTCTGGGTAATTATACTTTTGGTAGTAGTAAAAGTACATAAGTAGTATCACCTTTGTTTAATTATAGTATCTGTAGTAGTAAAAGTGCATTAGTAGTATCATCGTTGGGTAGTTATAGTATCTGTGATAGTAAAAGTACATAAGTGCAACCATCTTTGTGTAGTTATAATATCTATAGTGGTAGTACATAAGTAGCATCATCTTTGTGTAGTTATAGTATCTGTAGTAGTAAAAGTACATAAGTAGTATCATCTTTGTGTAGTTATAGTATCTGTGGTAGAAGTACATAAGTATAAGCCTGTTTGTGCGGTTATACTTTCTGTAGTAGTAAAAGTGCGTAAGCAGCTCTTTGTGTAGTTATAGAATTGGTAGTAAGAGTTAGAAAGTGTTATTAGCACTATCTTAATATTATTGAAGACAGAGTCAGAAAAGTAGCAGTAAAAAGTACAATAGCTTTCTCTGCTAATGTGGAATACAAGTACGAAGTACTACCATTAAAAATGGAAAAACTCATTACCAACAAGTACCTGAAAAGAAACGCAAGTACTGGGGGAGGCTAGAATTACTTTCTAAATTGAGAAAGTACTATTCTATAAAATGTCATTGAGTAGAAGCATCGGTAGAAAGTATCATGAGATATTGAGTACAAGTACCTTAGAATGACACCAGAGTACGGAATGAGCCGGTGCAAGAGGTTGTGACCTCTACCACTAAACTCTCTTCACACAAGACGCCTGCACGAAAACAGAGTTTTTAAGTCCCTGTAGTTGGTGTACATCAGTTAATAACCTTCCATCAGCATCACTTGCATGTACAAGTACATTAAACTTACGTTAAAGAAAAGTTGTATAATATATAATGTAATACAGCAGTACAAGTACAATATTAATCAATTTAACGTAGAGGAGTAGGAGAATAAAGCAAATAATTTGAAGCACAAAAATGTAAAACTTGTGCTTAAGCACAGTACTTGAGTAAATAAGCGTACATTCCAGCACTGTGCATGAAAATACTTAAGGCAAGTACCTAAAAAGGCTGGCGTTACGTAGGCCTGTTGTAAAAGTACTTCGTAAGGTGTGTACAGGTGGCACCAGGACCTCTCTGGCTCATCCTAACCGCGACGCCTCACACCAGACCCCGCTCGTATACGCAGCTTTCCGTCCCCTGCCCTGCGGCGGAGGACCGCTGCCCCGGTTAATTGGGGAGTAATTGTTCCCCGGGTGGGACACCAAGTTGTCCGGATAAACTTCCATCTACATCACATGCCGCTGCAGAGGGCCCCGGAAAAAAACCCGAAATGAAGCTTAAAATGGAGGGTTAAGATGAGAGCATTTGCTGCGGAAGAAGACTGACAAAGTGTTGTTTTTGTTTCGGCGGAGGAATAAATGTTTTATAACCTTGTTATTAAGCCACTATGGCCGCCTGGATGTCCAGCCTGCAGCGGATCAAACCCCCGCTGAGCCTCTCCGGTGAACCACACCGTCCATCGGCGTCCCTCACGTCCCCCATGTTGATAAAAGAAGAGTCCGAACAGACGGACCCCTCCGACATTGCTCCGCTGCGAGATGTTACGGAGAACAAGTGGATGTAGCGTTAGCAGCTAAGGCTAGCGCCTCCTGCTAGCCGCCGCGGAGCTAACGCTAGCTAGCCACGCTGATAACTTGCACCGAAAGGAGCAATAATCGAGTCGTTCGGCGGCAATTTGACAGAGAAAACCCCACACAAAGACGGGCCATAAGAGGGGGTAAATAACGCAGGAAGGGTCTCGCGGACGGGACGCCATTTCTCAGAAATCCCGACACCGAGCGTCGGCGGGTCCAAGTTATCCCTCGGCCCCCTTGTCCTCCACAAATACCAACTCCTAGAATAAGAAACACTCACCAGCTAAAACACATAGAAACACGGGGGACCCTGGTGAACGCACCGGCCGGCTTGGCTCGCACACCTGCCCGCTAGCACACAGCAGCCAACGCACCGATGGGGACCGGCGGCGGCACACAGGTGAAGTTTGGCAACACGGAAAATGAAAGTTATGAAATTAAAAAAGCCCAATGTACACTTACTCAGCAGCAGTCCTCCTCTAGATTAATTAAATATATATATAAATGTGTAAGGAGCCGATCCACGATGGAACAACAGCATGGAGGAGGAGTCCGGCTCAACACTTTCCCGCGCTGCTTTATGTTGTTGCCGTATTTTATATTTAGTTTTGGTTAAAAATTAGTGTAAAAACAGAGAAACTGAAGCTACAAAACAAGAAGAACTCTTCTTCAATCTCATTCAGCTCAGCCGAAGCACCGCGCGTATCCCTGCGCCGCGGAGCTGGAGGAAGGGGCTAGCGAGAAACTACTCGCGCGCGCGGCAGGCACGCGTGGCACCGCGACGAAGCAATCGACCTGTGCGCGTTCGCGCGCCGCCGTTGAAGTTCGTCAAATCGAACCGATCGGCGGCGCAAGACCCGAAGAAAATGTGTTCGAAAAGCGGACTACTTTTTGTGTCGGTGCCGCGAATTTATTTCACTTTGCCTAAGGAACGGGGGTGCTGCGACTCCCATTGCCTAGGGAAAAAACCCGGATGTAAACTCAGCGAAACTCTAAGGAGAGAAAGTCGGCGCGTGCACACAAACACACGCACACAAACACACCATTTGTTTAACTTGGCAGTGACGCGGAACAGTCTGTTGGCGTCTGGTTCTGGTTCTTCTTCGACCCAGGTCATCCAGCCTCAGTCTGCCGCTGGTAGAGCTCCAAGAGGAGGAGGAGAATATGAGGAGAGGAGGAGGATAGGGGGGCGAGGATTTATCACTTATATCTAACATATAATACACATTTATATCATAACCCCCAAATTCTCAAGAATAATAAAAGTACTGCACTAAATAGATAGAAAGAGACTTGTTGTAGTGCTTTATACGGCTGAGGGAAATTTATGTCACCTGTTTTTACTAAAAACTACTAGTAATTACTTTCAGAGGATAACATTATGGTTTTGGTGGTTCTGGAGAGGATAACTTTTTTATTCATTTATTTTTGTATGTTATTGAGGATTTTTATTGTGTTTATTTATTCTTATTTAGAGGTGTCACTAGATGGAGCTAGATATCAACCTCCTTATGTTTAGGTTTTACAGTACATTTAATTGACTACTGTACTATTAGGAAGTATTTGTACTGTACTTGAATATTTGTTATGTTAAAACTGTATACATTCAATACTCTGGATTAGTCTGATAACTACATTACATATTCAGATTATTAATCCTCTAATCAATAGTGTTAGTAAAAGGAATGCTAGTTTCTTCTGCCTCTACTTGGTATTGACTGTTTATTAATGTGTCTCTTTGTGTTTCTCTAGTGTTTATTTTATTGTGTCTCTACTTTGCATTTACTTGGTTTCTACTGTGTATCTTTTTTTGTATGCACTTCGTCTCTACTGTGTATCTACCGTGTCTATACAATGTCTCTGCTGTGAAGAGACGCAGTGACTGAGAGGAACCACTAGATGGAAATAGAAATCAACCTCCTTTATGTTTATGTTTTACAGTTCCAGAGTACTGTACTATGAGAAGTATTTATATATAGACCGGACCAGATCAGACCAAACCAGAACAAACCAGAACACTTCTCTCTGGCTCTGGTCTTAACCTTCCTGTATTTGCTTCTCTTCTTCAGAGTCTTCTAAGTTATGGATTCTCAGCAGTGGACCTGAACTCAAGTCTGACATGGTTGAGAGGATTCCTGGTTTTCACCCAGAAGGTCCCAGGCTCAACTCCCGAGGCAGAACTCCCAATAGTTTATGATCTCAATCTCTAGTTTGAAGTCTTCTTCAATACAGTATGATGTTCATTTAGTAATTTATGGTCTATTTGGAGTCCATACAGCAGGGGATGCTCTAGGGCGGGGCTATATGCTGGTTGACAGGTCTCCACCAGAGACGCATATATGCTGGTTGACAGGTCTCCACCAGAGACGCATACATGCGGGTTGACAAGTCTCCATCAAAGACGCATACGGCATCTCTACGTCCTCCCCAGTCCTAATATGGTTACTTCCTGTTTACAGGTTGAACTGTGAGTTAAAGCTAAACCTGCTTAGCAGATGGATCTGTTGGAGGAACCAGAACCTAAGCCACCAGAACCTGAGAGGACGTCTACCTGTGGTAGACACGGTTGTCCTCCAATCAGAAGGTTGGCGGTTCGATCCCCTAATCTGCATGTCGATATGTCCTTGCGCAACACTAAATCCCTACTTAATCCCAACATTGCTCCTGTAGCTGTGTGAATGTTAGTTACTGATGGGCCGTTGACCCTATGTATGGTAGGTCCTGTCATCAGTGTATGTAATGGGTGTGAATGGGTTAATGATGTCATGTAGTGTTAAAGCGCTTTGAGTGGTTGGAAGTCTAGAAAAGCACTATACAGTCCATTTACCATGTGGTTTAGGAGTGAGATCTTCTGTCAAAGGCGATTTGGTCCCAGATAGTCAGAACTTCATGTAGTCGGGTCTCATTTCGTTAAATATAACTAACTTGAATTACATGAATAGGCAAAGTTAGATGTAATTAGAAGACAGATACTAAAAAAAGTCAGTGTGGGTTTGTTTCCTGTTTTATTTGTAGTTTTGCTGTACTCTCACCTGGGTTAGCTTCACTTCCTGCCCTGTCATGTTAGGGTGATTGCCCTGTGATTGTCTGCTGTGTTTCTGATTATTTCCACCTGTGTCCAAACACCTGCACCTTCCCAGTGTATTCCAACCATGTGTATCCCTTGTCATTGTATGAGTTTCCTATGTCGGTGAGGTTTTGTTTACTGGTGTCCTGGGGTCCGTTTCAAGTAGGAGGTTTAACAAACTCTGAGTCAAACCCTAAACTCTGAGTTGATTTACCCTGAGATGGGAAACTCTGAGTTTTGGGTTTCAGAACAGCTGTTTAGAGTTGGTTCAATCAACTCGGAGTAGGTTGACTCAGAGTTGAGCGCGTGCACCACCACAGTATAAAGGCAGCATGAATGGAGCCACGATACTACGATTCACCATGGCAACAACCACAAACAGTATATTCACCCCCATTGACCTGGAAATATTAATGGAAGTGTACGGCGAGTTAGAAAGAAAAGCAACACCGCTACTGCAGCAAAAGACAGAAAAGGTTGTGGGAGAAAATTGCTGAAAGTTCCAATATAGTGTTAAGTTAATATTTAATGTACACACTAATCATAATCCATGTGTTTTACTAATTCCCAGTGGGAAAATTACATTTTTTACACTGTTCGTTAGAATGCACTACACAGGCTTGACATACACACCCATGCTCCTATTTAATCACAAGAATAATATCGCTGGTAAGAACTGGTACAACGGTATTGGACCTACAATGTATTTTATTCAGGTGCATCCTGTGGATGTCCTCTTTAATAGCTTCACTGGTTTGTGTCCAGGGAACAAAAACGTTTAAAAGACGTTTCAGAGCGACGCACACGTTTCTCACGGCTCTGCATACAGCAGCTTTACTAATATTCTAAAGTTTTAAAGGAAACTGCAGTTTTTCAAAAAAACGTAATTCTACACAAAGGATATGCTCGGATGTGAGAGCATGTCCACGATGAGAGACGTTAGTTATGTGCGGACGGGTGAGGTTATGTACATATTTGATGGACTGTGAAGATAAACGATACCGTTTAAAGTCATCTGGAAATATATCTAATCGGGCCTCAATATTCTCTCCTGCGTAAGTAATCCCACTTGTTCATATGTGGAAACTGCGCTAAAATACGCCTATACAGAGTACTTGAATGAATGAGGAAATGAAAACCCTCATCTCAGGGTTAACAAAATCTAAGTTTTCACTAAACCCGCTTCTTGAAACAGACCCCTGGTCCGCGGTTTGCCCCGAGGCATAGGTGATTTTTAAAATAAAGTCTTCTTTTTCGTTACATCTGTGAAAGAATCCTGCTTTTCGCCAGTTCAAAGGCGACAAGATGTTACACTGTGATAGACAGGAGTACTATTTATATTCACACCATGTACATAAATATAACTAACTACTCATCAATGTGAAACTGTCTCCAGGCTTTTTTTTGCTTTTAGTCAGTAGAAACTTAAGAAACAAAAGCAGTGACATTAACAACATCAGATGTTGTGCGTGAGGCAGCTCCTTTAGGCTCTGGACCAGTTGACCGCCGTCTTTTACCCAATCGGAGGGTAACGACTTCCTGTCCCTTGGTAACCTCCTTAACGTGTGTTGATTGGCTGTCAGCCGGCTCTGCTCTCCTTTGAGAAACAGCTCTGGCCTTTTGCTTTCAGGACTTTTCCTTTGATGGCGTCTGAGATCAAAGACGTTAAACCAATCAGGAGGCTTTCATCCTGTCAGCTGACTGGAGAAAGAACAACAACAGATGGACAGACACAAGGGCTTTATTTAATAAACTCTTTATTAGCTGAACATCAAACCTGCTTGTTGGTCTCAAACATCTCCATGTGGATTGAGATGTGATGTCATTGTCCCCTTCTCCCTCACAATTGATTATTGATCTGACAGAGCTGAACGCTGTGTGATGGTTTAGTTAAGAGATGCCAGGGAAATACATCACAATCTGTTTTAAGAGTCTTCATTTTCATGATATGTATATTGCTGATTGCAAATCACCAATTCAGGGATAAGGAAGCAGATAAGAACAGGTCCATAAGAATAAACAGGTTAATAAGAATAAATAAGTTAATAACAATAAACAGGTTCATAACTCGTGAACTATCTGCCATCTACGATCTGATAGCTAGTAGCTGCTAGGTGCTATCTTCTATCCACCAGCTGCTTTCTGCTTTTTGGTATCAGCTAGCTGCTAACTTCGACTGCCATCTGTTAGCGGATATCTGCTAACTTGTATCCACCAGGTGCTATCTGGTATCTACTAGCTGCTATCTGCAATATGTTATCTGCTATCTGCTAACTTGTATCCACCAGGTGCTATCTGGTATCTACTAGCTGCTATCTGCAATATGTTATCTGCTATCTGCTAACTTGTATCCACTAGGTGCTATCTGGTAGATGCTATCTGCAATCTGTTACCTGCTAACTTCTATCCACTAGGTGTTATCTGGTATCTTATGGCTGCTAACTTCTATCCACTATGTTCTAGCTGAGCGTAAATATCTAATGTTAGCGTTGCTGGATGATTATCTCTCTCCTGGACAATATTATTATTATCTCTCTCCTGGACAATAACTCAGTCCCATTCCTCAGTTTTGTTAAAAGACCAGAAACTCAGTAATAACCAATGATTCAGCCAACGGGAAGAGGTGAGGAAAGAATGATACATAGAAACCACAGAGTACTGCCTCTAAAGGGTACTAGAGATCTGCCCACAGTACTCCTGAGTACTTGTATCAGTATCTGATGACATAATCTCCTGCTCAGGTGG